CGCTGGCCCAGGACACGTAGTAAAAAAGCAGCGAGATCTCGGACTCTGATGCTTCCGACCGGATCTGGGGCACACTGCGTCCGGGGCACTCGACAATGGTCGCTTGGTCGGATGTGCCGGACTTTGAGGCGTCCAACTGGGCGATAGGGAGAGCCAAGAGCAGCAGGAAATATATTTTCATTGCAACCGGTGGGAAGCCAATTAGATGGCAAAAACAACCCAACAACAACCGATATAAACAGATGATTGCGGAGAGAATGGTCACACTGTAACGTGGGTTGTGTTGTTAATATGATAAGTTTATATATAGTAACTAAATAAGAAAATTACATTTCTAAATTACAAATGTGTAAGGTGAATACATTAAATAATATAAGTAGTTTAAGGATAAAGAATGAATTTATTTTCGTTGGTACCTTGTTAAGATTTTTACATCGTTGTTACAGAACGTTGTTGAGCACTAAATGGTATACGGTCTCTAAGCTTTACATTCTGCCCCACACTGCCCACAGTTATCGATAGCAGCACTATCGATTCAAAGTGATATTAATTAATGACTTCTGCTGTTTACTTTCTTAATTAAAACTGTGTTAATTAAATTAACAACAACGGCTGCTATAAACCCACTGCGACGCTTAAACGAAGTCGCTTTTGACGTTTTGACGAAAAAAGGAAACCTCCCGAAGGAAAACTATCAGGAAATTGCTCACCAATCCCCAAAAAAAATCATATTTGGCAAAAACAGCAACAGTAATTAGGGTGTGAGAGTGTGGAGTGAATAGCTGAATAGTTAAATCAGTGAATAATTTACCGTACGGCCTTCGCCTTTGGAGAAACAACAACTAAGCCCAGCGTTCCCTTACACCCACACACACACACACACGGACAGACCACGCATACACACGCAGGCCAGCCGATAACCTGTGTGTGAGGCAATCGCCGTCATCGTTCGAAATCAAATCTCTAATCGGTGGAAACAACAAAAGCAGCTGCAGTAGCATAATCAACAATTGAATACATACATACATAAATAGCTAAATATAAGGTTAAAATATGGGACTGTTATTATCGCGGCTTTGGCGGATGTTTGGCAACGAGGAGCACAAGCTGGTCATGGTGGGCTTGGACAACGCGGGCAAAACGACCATCCTGTACCAATTCCTTATGAACGAAGTGGTCCACACAAGTCCCACGATCGGTTCCAATGTGGAGGAGGTCGTCTGGCGGAATATACACTTTCTTGTCTGGGATCTTGGTGGTCAGCAGAGCCTCCGCGCGGCTTGGAGCACCTACTATACGAACACAGAGCTGGTGATCATGGTCATCGACTCCACGGACCGGGAACGGTTAGCTGTTACGCGGGAAGAGCTCTACAGGATGCTGCAGCATGAGGATCTGAGCAAGGCGAGTTTGCTGGTCTATGCCAATAAACAGGACCTCAAGGGCTCCATGTCGGCGGCGGAAATCTCAAGACAACTGGACCTCACCTCCATCAAGAAGCACCAATGGCACATTCAGGCCTGCTGTGCGCTTACCGGCGAAGGACTCTATCAAGGATTAGAGTGGATCGTGCAGCGCATCAAGAACAAATGACCCGCCACACATGCTACGTACTAGCTAATTAATCATTAACGACTAGCTGTCTAGAGAAAGTAAACCAATTTTGATATGAACAATTTTTAAGCGTTTCCAAATTGTTTGAAAAGTTGTTGCCAAGCCAATTTTTATTAAGTGTAAAATACGTCCGAACAGGAGTCCCTTGATGATTTAAATCTACGTGTATATGGATAATGTCTAGGAGCTAAGCCAATTAACTACGATACTTCCAATAAAATTACAAAATAAACGAGTTTATTTCGACACTGTCGCGTATCAAATTGAATACAAATTACAAATAGAGAAGTGGACGTATTTGCCTCTCTGAGCATTGCCTTGTAATTGACATTGTTGGCTCGATTCGCTGATGTGTGAGATTGTTTGTACTCTATCGTCTAAAATAAATACATGGTTGTGTAAAAGTTAGTGTCTAGGATTAGGTTAAAACATTAGCATACTAAAATATAGCCACAAGAACAATTTGATCACAAAAGTAAAAGCAAAATAAAGAGCAGTGAGTGGTCTAGGTGAGATTGCAGGAACTGCTGCAACTCTTTAAAGGCTTTCCCTGACCCAAGGTGATAGTGTTTTCTGGCACCTCCTCCACATTATTAGCATCGTGTTGGCGCTGTAATATGGAAACATTATTAGTTTAGGTACCATTAAGAGCTGGACACCCACTTTAAGTTCGTTGGCCAGGCAGCGGAAGGCGTCCTCTACGTTCATGTTCTCCTTAGCGGAGGTCTCCATCACGAACAGGATCTCAGGTATATATTGACACATCTGACGCGCCTCTTCGAAGTCCACCTCGCGCTGCTCCTCCAAATCGCACTTGTTGCCTACCAGGATTATCAAAACATTGGAAGCGGTGTACCTGCGCACCTCTTCGATCCATTTTTGCAGGTTGGAAAAGGAAGACCGCTTGGTGATATCGTAAACTGTCAGGGGAAACACATGGTATTCAAGCAAGGTAAACAAACATCCCACTGATAAGGAGCTACGCTATTAAAATCAGTGCCAGGCAATCACTTTAAAGCGTTATGTGGTTATCAGTAGTACTTATTTGGCATGACAAATAGATGGGCGTATGCCTTCGACCAGAAACAAAAGATCCCGATATTGGACTCACCAATTAAGACCCCGTTGGCCGAGCGATAATAGCTTTGCGTAATAGTGCGAAACCTCTCCTGACCAGCAGTGTCCCAGATTTGTAGCTGAAAAAGCAGGGCAGGATATGAGTCATATTGGTATTGGGATTTGGGGTAATCCATTATGCACCTTGATTTGCTTGCCCTCCACGGCGATGGTCTTCATCGAAAAGTCTACTCCGATGGTGTTCCCATGTCGCTCTATGTAGTTCCCTGTTTTAAACCTGTCCACTATGCAGGTCTTCCCCGTCCCGCAGTCACCAATGAGGACGATCTTGAACAGGAAGTCGAAGTGCTCCTCGTTTGGCAGTGCCATCAACGTCTGTGGATTGCGGGCGGTCATCTTTGGCCGCCGTTCCTGTCCGTTAACTGGTCTCTTTTGCCTGCGCCCTGCTTTTCCAATGACAACAAAGTGAAGCAAAACTAATTTTATTGATACGCAATATCAGCTGATGTCAATCGATAGTTGACTTATCGATATGGAGGTCAAATGGTTATACTTACGGATTCTAGTTTTAATATGTATTGTACTAATTATAGTTTCTATTATGGTTTATCTATATAATTTGTTATATATTTTACAAAACTCATTGATCGATATTTAATTTTACATGTGATATCGACCGTTAGGTTTTTTCATCACCAATTAAAATATAAATCAAATGTCATTTACTTTTTTTAAATAGTAATATTTATTACTTTGTAAATTAATTACACTACATTAGGAGAGCTAAATTGTACTTTGTTCAAGTAATATTTATTTTCGTTCTTACTTTTATTGTAATAAAAGTTAAGTTTTTTATTTATAATCTAATATTAGCCAAGGAGTGTAAAAAGCATTTTTATTTTATTATATTGGATTTTCTCTTTTCAAATGTGGTCAAAACGAATTTACACGATTTTCCGAATCGTGTTTGCCAACTCTCACTGATGGCTTAGAAATGGAAATCTATTGGGCTGATTTTATCATTATGCAATAAAGCACTTAATATGTTGACAATTTATTTAATTGACTCACAAATGGAAAGCCCTCTTGCGTGCAAATCCATGTGAATCGAGGTACTTGCCCCGATTAAAGCGGCGATCACGTAGTGCAGGCTTTCTGATAACGCATGGGACTCCAATAAATTTTCACCACGTACTTTGATGATGGCGCCATTTGACGCTAAAGAGCTGGCTTTATGGGCTTGTAATTATTTACGATGTGTTTCGAAGAAATTCCTCGGATTTCCCCATGGAAATCTGTACAAAATGCAGACCTTGACCCACATGTCAACTTCTATCTCTAGGCAGCGAAACGAGACTCACTTTCAAACCGCAGCGGAAGCGGCCGGGAAACATGTTCTATGTATCTCACCGAATGCAAATAAGCTGACCAACTGCTTCGATTGCCAAACGAATTGGAAACCGCATGCCAGTTGCGCATGCGCACACGCACTGTCGCATCAATTTCGCGTGGAAAGTTTAATTGCCGATCTGGGGGCCAAGTCTTCCAAAGAACTTGTCCCACGATTAGCCCGATGCAGATGAACATCGTCCACAAACGCAAAAAACAGGGTCTTTAGCTCTGACTATCATCAGTCGCATTTCTAATGGTTTTACTGTACTCTAAGTGTCGGAAAACATGGAGAGGGTTTGTTAAACTGAATAATAATACGTATTCTCCGAAACTAGCATTTTAACATGTATGTTTTTCTTTTTGTTTAATCTTTACATTTGAAAAAAAAAACAAAGACATCAAAATGGGATTTAGGTAAATTTATACTTATAATGTTTACACTTACATAAATTTCTACATAAAAAAGTTATAATATTTCTGCATACATTTTAAAGTCAATATTGTGGTGTACTTATGCATCGTCCCGACTTTTTCTGGTTACACTTTGAAGAGAAATTAATTGACTGCACCCTGAAGCTGCAACCGCAACCTAGTTTCGGGCCAGGAAAGCCCTTACGATGGCAATGAGTCAGAGGAATGCTGGAAAATGATCGCGGCTAGACTTGCTCCCATCTCCTCAGCAAAACGTTCCACTCCCCCGCAGGTTGAGATCTTCGCCGCAGGCAAAAGGAAATCAAACAGCGAATTGGCAACTTCACACAGAGCTCGTCAGAAACACGAAGACCAGATCAAACGAATTTTTTGCTGGCCTGGCTGACTGGTTTGCCATTTTGGCTGGCGGGTAGCTTCTGCCCGACTACTTCCCCCTGGATTCCGACTGAAAAGCCTCGGAATTCTCGGCCTCACTTTTGCATTGTAGTTTGGCCCGTTCGTCGTTGCTTTTTATCGCTCGCCTCGACCGCTGGCCGCTTTAGTTGAATTTCAAACGTTTGCGCGCGCGGTTGTCGGATCGTGTCGCGAAAAAATAATCAAAAACCAAAATAAAATCCAAACGTAAAATCCAGTGAGGCTTTAGGAGACGCTTTTCCTTCGACCAAAAGGATTGCCTAGCGCAGTTTGAAAAGTGAAAAACGTGCTGAGACCGTTGCCTAGTAGAATAACCTACGCTTGATCTCTACCATTGAACTTTGTGGAAAGAGGAAGGAGGATTTTCCAACGGAAATTAGGACACGGGCAGCCTGACCAGTTTTGTCGATTTTTCCCAGCAACTAAAGATTATGTAAGCTTCAGACTCCTTCCGCGAAATGTGACAAAAGAAAAAATAAGAAAAGGAAAACAAAAACCCAATTACCTAATTGCCATGCATCCGGCGTTATCGTTTGACAACTTTCTACCCCCGCTTATTTTGATTGATTTCTTCACTTATGCGGAGCACGAACATCCACATTCAAATCCAATTTGAATCGAAATCCGGTGGACACTTGCACTTTCCTCTGTCGAAATTGCCTTTCGCAATAAGTGTTTTTGTTTTGTTTGCCGCATTTCTGATTAATTATTCAGCACCATTTCTCGCAGTGCGGGTGCAACGTGCCCGTTAAAACGGAAGACTTAAGCAACGAACTTTTCGGCGACTGTCAATTTGACGGCGATCGGGTATGAAATAATCAAAATTATTTTTCGATCCGAAGTGCCAGCGCTCACCTGCTGACCCAGTTTTCGGTTTCACTGCAAAAATTAAGTACATTTCTTTATGTCGCCGTTAAAGCAAAACTCTCCGAATTCTGGCAGACGGACATGGATACGTCCATACTTAGCAGGCGCCAATTAAAGCTCAGCTGCACTAATTCGCCATAAGTTGCCGAGGCTTTTCACTGTCTCGGACACTGTCTCTTTCTATTTCTCTGTCTCCTTCTCGACTCCATTTTCTGTCTCAAATCACTTCTCTCGCATTCCCACCTGACATTTGTTGCGTGTTTGTTGTTTGTTAGTGTCTGGCTGTTTTTTACCAAAGGGTAACTCCCCTGGCACATAAAACTGGCTACCGAAAGTTGTACAACTAATGCTGAATAATTGTAAATATATATTTAGCTTTTAATGTACTGACATTATAGGTTACATCACTAGACTTTGGGTGCTCCCAGTGAACTCTTTTAAAAACTGATGATAAATGTAGGTCGCGATGCCAGGCCTAGCACCATAAAACATAACGAATATGCAAAGCTGTTTTTAAAGATTTCTTAAATTACAATTACACTACTTTTTGTTCGATTGCTTGCAAAGATTCATTATTTTTCTTTTTTTTGTCAAACAGTAATTTCACATGAGCATTAAAATTTAAAAAAAATTCAGACACGAGTAGTAATTTTTTTATTCGGCTGAAAGGCATTTTAGCTTCGACTCAGTTTTCTGACTCCGGACATCCAAATGATCCCTGGTCAACATGTGTTTGGCCACCATTCATGGCCATAAGCGAGAGTCGCCGCCAAGGCGCCGCAGTCAACTGCTGTGGATTGGATTGGTTTGTCCAGGACTAGAGCGTAGTGGAGGGGGGATAGTGGCCCGGCAAGTTGTGGCGCTTCCTCAACGCACTTACCCAGTCGGAGGCACTTGCTCCGCCTCGTCCTCCTCCCTGTTCAGCCTAGATGGTGACCTCATTTCGATTTCACTTCTATCACTCTACTGCTATTAATCTCATCTGCATTTCGGCCTTTAGCGCTGGCCACGCCTACTGGCTGTTCGGTTGTCTGCCCCAAGTGACAACTTGAAACCGAGTTTGTTTAGGCCTAATTTCCTTGCAGCGCTGTCACTGCAGAGAAACTCTGCCCAACGTTACGCTAATTGATTTACTTGAAGGGAACACTAATTGACTAAGTACTTTACAATATTCGGCAGCTAAACTGTTAAAAAAGAAGTTAATTATGGAAACGTCACCTATTCTTCAGAAGAATAGTAATTACTTTTATTTTAAAAAATTGGCACTTTAGAAACCAAAATCTCATTTGGTCTTCGAAAATTGGCATTAGGCACAACTTCTGACTTTGAACCATTCTTAGAAATTAAAGAAATTGATTTAGGTGGTAAGTACACGGCTTAGGTAATGAAATAAAGGTGAAGAAAACGTAGCATAGGTTAGACTATTAAAAATCTTATTTCATTCCTTTCCTTATGTTTTCTTGCAGCTCTAGTCACAAGTACCTGTATCTCCCCTAACACCTCACAGGTATCAAAGATCTTGCACCACTAGAAACGCCCACCGGCCTGCTTGATATCTTGTTTATAACAGTTGTAACGTTGTCAAATTGGGAGAAACTCTGTCAAACCTTTTGGTAAATTAAGTCCATGAGTTTCAAGAAGTGTGTGGAGTAGGCTGGAATGCCTTGGTCTAGATAGCTATTGGAACCTGCACCTCCCAGTTGGCCATCAAATTGCAGCCTTTGGGAGAGTGCTGGCGAATCTGGCTGGAGCTGTAATGATCGCCCGGATCGCTAACGGATAGCAAACACTCCATCTATCTATGGACATCTCAAAGCGAACCAAACCGAACCGGCTGTGGCAAGTTCTCCGCTTAGTTGCATCATTGGTGGTGCGGTAAAAGTGCGTCTTGCTCCATTTAGATTCTATTCGGGGTGAAATCGTCTTCTGAAGTCAACAGGTTTCGTTTAGACTTATAAATCAATTTGTTAACATGCTTTCACTGAATACACACGCTTATTGCCAATTCTTCTTGCCCCGGCGATTGATGTCGATTTGTGCGGCTATAGCTGCAAGTCGTAATCGGAACTCAAGCTGCCAAGGCTAACGGTTTGAGTCAGTGCACCTGGAACAATGCCAAGCAGGCTAAGAAGTGTGGAGAAGCTTTCCCAAAAAATCGACATGAGCTCTAAGCAAAGAAACCAGTTAAAAAGATGAATATCGAGGGGGATGTTTCGAGGGGAAATCTAGTTAAGAATGCAGAATGGGGTAAGCGTCCAGTAGGTGAGTAGGCGCCATATGTGCGCCACCATTGCTGTTATACAACTGTTGTATAATGATGGCCATTAGGCCAGTCTTTTGCCGACTCAATTGCTAGGCAGTCGAAATTGGAATGGAAGTCCGTGTCTAGTCGAGTTTGTTGCCTAAGTCTTTTGTTTGTTTTTTGAAACTGCAGGAGCAATCAAATTAGTTTCGAAACTTACCCATATTGCTTACTTACTCCTAGTGAAAATAAAGCAATCGAGAATCTCCATTATAATAATGATCAATCAGTCTGTTACACTCTAATCACTATTATCAGCATCTAATCGTTATTATGACAGCATTTTGATAGTTTATTGATAGTTTAGCAACGAGCTTGGAAAAGCTGTTTAACACCAGAATATCTTAAGAACTGAAATGTTATGTATGAGCTCTGCTGATCTTATCCCTGAAACCCCTTAAGTAATAAGTTGTGTCTGTATAGCTGTTTCTCAAGTTTTTCAATAAAAATTTTGTATTACCATCTCAGCACTCATCACTTAACGTGACCATGGAGAACGTGTTAAAGCGACGCCATCATCTCCTCCTCCTACTGCTTCTGCCGCTTGTCATTTTGTGTCCAAATGCATTAGCACTGAATCGACAGGCGGATGCTAGTCAGGATTTGGATATGGCAGCTCAGCTGGCGGATGCGGAGGCCGTGGCCAGGCCGGATTACGATGCCGATTCCCCGGATACGCCGCACATACGCAAGAAGCGACTTATCTGGATTACGGATGATGGCAGATTGGCCTTGCCGCCGGGCACTTCGCTGACATTTGTGCCAACCATTGCGATGCCCCTGGTTCGACATCCGCCAGAGGGATTCTTTTCCAACCTGACCATCAGTTTTCCCGTCACCAGTGCGTAGACAGCTCTCAAAGCCAATGATTAATCAATTTAATTGGATTTTTGTTGTCTCAATCCGCAGTTGACTTCGACAAACTGGGCCTTACAGACAACCAAAATCCTCTTGGGGATCTGCCGCCGTTGTTCGCTCGTTCCTTTGGTCACGAGGCAGGTCACATGGTTGGTGAATATGTGGCCAGGTATCTGCATGTACAGCGCAGGAAGAGGGACCTCAGCGAGCAGCGGAGCAGAAGGAACGAGGATCATACCTTTAAGGTACACGAAGAGGGTCCAAAGTATCCAGAACTGCCTGCCGGACTGCAGCATATTTTCCATGGTGGAGAGAGGGTTCTGCTCTATGGCGTTGTGGAGGACTTCCTTTCCACCTTTGGCATGGATGGGAAGGCCTGTTTGCTGAGAACCATTTGCGAGATGCACTCCCGAAGCTTGGAGAAGTTTGGCGTCTTTGGAGAAATGACTAAGCTATTTTTAACGTGAGAAGTTTCCTTCTATTACAAAAATTCTTTATTATATAAATCTGTCTTATAGGGTAACCAAATCCCCATTTTCCGACCTCGTACCCGACTATGTGCAAGCCCAGGAGGTGGGCGAGGGTAAACAGGCTCCAGGAGAATGTTTTCCCTACTTTAAGGACTGCCCAAAAAGTATTTTTAAGGCCTTGTCCAGCAAATATAGCAAACCAGCTCCTGCGAGCAAGACGAAAAAGACAAAACCCACAGACAGACCGGTGGGTGAATATCATGAGGAGCAGGTGATACAGCTGCCCACCACTCGAGATCAAGAAAACAATGTGTATATGTAGAACAGTTACCAACTCCATGCGAACGCCCATTGTTGACCTCGTCTAGATTTTAGGATTACGATTGAATTGAGCGCGTCCTCAAAGTCACTTGCTTGTAATTAACGTGTACTTATTAATTTATAATTATTTATTTTACTTACGCAATGTATTTATTGTTAGTCCTAGGCGTTGTTAATTGCTTAGATTTGTATTCATGCTAGTGGTCTGTAAATAATTGCAATTGTGGCATAATCCCTTCCAACCAACAAATGAAATCGTGTCAAATGAATAGAGAATAAATTGCCCTTAAAAAGGTGCTCAAAGCTTGTTTTCTTTAATCTACCAGATTACGGCAATAATGGCGAATACAACATGGCTTTTTTAGATTTAAACTTGCGCCATAAACGACAATTGCTTACATTACACAGCACTGTCAGCAGTTACAAATAAAAACAGGCAAGTGAAGAAATATACATTACTTATAAAGGTCTGTATTTTTAAAGACTTCCTTTAAAATCAAATTTATTTAACAATATAATAAAGTTTGAAACGAAATTAATATTTTGTCCAGTGAAAACATTTTAGATTTTGGTTACAATGGAAGCTATTCAAAACACTCGAAGTGAATGTAATTTATAAAGAAAATAAAAAATGGTATTCCATATTCGGTTTATTGGACCAAAGCTTTCCTTATAGTAAAGTTACTATCTAATAAGTTTGACGGGAAGGTTTCAAATGCAAGCCTTGTGTATTTAAAAGAGGAAAAAGAAAGTTCGCAAGAAGGCACTTCCGCCAACTATCGAAAGTACAACATCGATAGCTCGTCAACTTATCGAAACTATCGACGGCCGTCAGCCCATCTCTAAGACAGCTTTGTTTTGGTTTTGCAACGAAAAAAACAGCAGCGTCGTGAGTTCTTTTCCGTTTACTTACAAAGCCTCGCACAAACAAACCAGCGCATTACGTGTTGCACAGATGTTTGCGGATCGTCGAGGCAATCAATAAGCGAAAGGTGAGTGCTCCCGGGTGGGGGACAGCTGCCGCTCCGGAACCGGGAAAAGGCGGTGCTCTGAGTCAGGCGATGTGCTAGCTGATTGAATTGGATTATCACGATTGGAGCCATCAACGAATTGCCAGCCGGCATTGTAGTTGTTTACATTGCGCGGACGTGGCGCAATATATTTTTAATCTTCTGCGGCAACCTGCTGATTAAGATACCCCGACACCGTTCCATTGTACAGATAACTTGGCAGTTGAACTCCGGAGCTGGCAGAAGATGGACACAAACGCTGGGGAGTCGGCATCGCCGCCATCTAGCAATGAGGCGGCGGCCGGATCCCAGTCCCAGAGCGATGCCTCCGAAGAGGAGGAGTATCTGGACAACAGTATCGAACTGAGGGGCTATCTCAGCAAATGGACGAACTACATCTATGGATGGCAGCCGCGTTACATAGTCCTGAAGGATGGTACCCTCTCCTACTATAAGTCCGAATCGGAATCGGATTTCGGGTGCCGCGGAGCCATCAGCCTGACCAAGGCCACCATTAAGGTAGGACGGCCGAGAAGAGAGGGCGGAGCTGGGAGCTCCTCCACCAAGTGCTTTCTATTGGACTAATAAAAAAGTAATGGGCGTGAGTGTGTGCGCATGTGTTTCCGACACATTAACTAACGATGACCACGACCTGAGGTCTCCGTTTCCATTCCCAAGCCAATACACCCATTCGCATTCCAATTCCGAGCGACGCAATCAATGCAGCGCAATCAATTAACGCGCTGGGCGACCAAAATAGACCAAATTGAAGTCATCAATGTAAGTGGGGTGCCCCTTAGGCCTGGGCGCTAGAAGGTCTTCTGTTGACAGGAGGGCGTGTTGTTCTAGGAGGGTGTTTCGCCATGAGTGTGTACTTATCTATTTATACTGTAGGAGCTGCCAAAAGCATATACACAATGCTGACTCACTAGAAGCGGCCCTTCCACCAATTGGCTTTGACTTTGCGAACACTGATCTTATTCAAAGATATTGAAGCCTTATTTGGTTTTTAAGAAATTTCCTAAAAGAAAAAAAAACAACCATCACAGACTTAATCGATCAAGAATATAGCCTTCATTGGAATACTGTTCAGTTAAAGTAGTTTAAATTACTCAAAACTAATTTATTGGCAAGTGATTTATTGGGCATTAGTGTTTTGACTTAGTGAGGTTCTACTGTAATTTTCATTTGCAAACAATCTTGTATTAGGGTGTTTTCCTCTTTGATTTCATGTTTACTACTGATTTGCGTTCTACTATAATCATCCATTCAAAGGTAATTAGGTTTTTTTCGTCGAACTTATTGTATTTCGTTTTAATAACTGCTTTCATAGCAATTTCCATTAAAATAGCAATTAATGTAGCATCAAATATAAGTACGATATACAGGTGCTTTGATTTAAGTTTACCTGCACCTATTTTGTACCTTTTCTTAAGTTCATTAATTTTCATTTGCAGGCCCATGAGTCCGACGAGCTGCGCTTCGATGTTGTGGTGAACAACCTAAATAACTGGTGCCTACGGGCGGAGACCAGCGAGGACCGCATGCACTGGGTGGATGTGCTGCAGCTGTATAAAGCGGACTCCGGCAGCACGGACACCACTTCCTTGCGTCGCCATGGTAGCACCATGAGCCTGCAATCGAACACCATCTCGCTGACCAGCGGCGGAAGCCTGAATAAGACGCAGCGCAACCTGCGCGAAAAATTCGGGGAGCTGGAGACCTTTAAGGACATACTATTTGGACAGATCGAGACTCTGCAGCGATACTTCGACGCCTGCTCGGAGGTGAACAAAAATAATGCCCAGCCACTGGACCTGGGCGACGGTCTGAAGTCCATCGATTTCAAGGTAAAGTAGTGCACTTATGGGGCCATATATGCAAAGTATACTAGGTACAACACTCGATTTTCTCAGGGGGAATCCATCACGTTTCGGGCCACAACGTCCGGCGTGCTCACCACCCTGCAGCATTGCCTAGAAATCATTGCCGAGAGCGATGAGTCATGGAAACGGAAACTGGAGCGTGAAATAGATAAGCGCCGACGTTCAGAGGACCAAAGCAAGTAGGTTGACCTAGTCGAAATATATTCATAGAAGAAGAAGCAATTTAAATTGAATTTTTCGTGTTTGCTTAAAAGCCAAGGTCCTATGTTTTCCAAATTCTCATACGTTTCTCCAAAGGGTGGATACTATTCCATGGTCCAATTTATTAAAAAAATGGTTCATAATATATTTACATTTAATGTATACATTCCCTTACCAAGTTTATTCATTTAAAATATTTTAATACTAAAAAGAATTCCCTTGGTTCATATTTTGCAGAAAGCTCAAGGACGAAGTCGAGAAAATGAAGCGCTTATCGTATCCTGGCCCAGATTTCGAGGTGAGTCCAAGTTTACAGCGCGTAAGAGCGAAAGCGTAATCGCATTCACGGTCATGACTGCCCGAATCGGGGCCAAACACGTTCCCACTGAAAAAGCAAACAATCACCGAACGAGTGGCGCGAAATTCGTATAAACGATTTGCGTGTGATTTGTCGGCGTCTTAAAATAAACCGCCTAGTTCGACGTTGTGTCAGAGATTTCATCATATGCAAGGAAAGTAGAACACGCTGGACTATTATTCAAGCGTTTTCAATTGGATTATGGAATGCCAGTATTTGGTTCCAACTTTCGGCTGACACGAAAATCCTGTGTTCGTTTTTATCTGGAATTAGGTCATGCAATATCGTTTTTTCCGCTTACATTTGTTGATCCATACCATTTCATTTTAATGGCATATGTCCACAATAGCTTTATAAAAAACAGCTTTCCTACGAATTATAAGTGCTCAACTTGGTTGTTCTTTGTGGCTCACTTACTTGGCGACTACTCAAGCTGAAAAACTGGGCGTCTAGACGGTTTCTTTAGTCCGGATTGACAGTTGGACGTAGATGAAGATCTACCTCGAGCCAATATTGCAGACATTGAGGTTGAAAAACGATCCAGCAGTTGGCTAGAGAGCACTTTGTACAAGGGGTATACTTACTTTTACATCCCTACTGAACTTCATGTAAAATCTTGTTATAAAATTTCTAGTTTACTGTAACAATTTATCAGACGTAGTATAATTTAGTAAACGTCAAGGGCGACTAGCGTTATTTGTTTGTATTTCGCCTACATTCACGCTTAGAGCATTCAATGTCCACCTTAATTTTTGAGCTCTTGCTTTAAGCCTGGCTTACAGCTGTCACGTTTATGGCTTGTGAGCTAGGCTGGTCAGTCGGCGGTTAGCGATCGAGTGGCCAACACGTAGCAATCATAAACAAATTTGCCAGGCAAACAATTCAAAACGAAACTGACTGTTTCTTTTTCGTACTATATTTGTAGTGGCATTTAATTGAGTGTGCAGATTGTGAAATTTCTTGCATTGCATTGAAAGAGCTATAATAAATATACAAGTGTACACAATTGTAGCAAATGCTAGTTCATGTTGCAAAAATATAAAATCGCTGCACGCATCGCTGTACAAATATACAAATTTATAAAATTATAAACAACGCCAACGTGATGCCCTCGGCGCGATTTCTTTGGCGCTCCGGCGGATTCCAGAAGGGCAACGTTAAAAAAATAAAGGTACACTAAATAAAAATTATAAATAATTTATATAAAGGACTGGAGGAATATTTTTTGTTTTTGTATGGAAATATTTAAAGGTGCACTATCACTGCCATAAGCAATAAACGTGTAATTGTAAAAAAGATACAACAAATATTTTGCAAATTAAATTTTGATAACATAATTAATCAATTAAAAATTTAGAATTATTTTTTTTATGTGTTTATGATTAACAATTCTATTTAAAATTCTTAATTTGATAAACTGAATGTGGAATGTTCCATATTTCAATATTATGATATTCAAGGAACTTAAAAAGTAAAGGGTTTTGATAAAAGCTTTAGTTCGCAAGCATTGCTATAATAAAATTATGTTTTTTTCTGTTAGTGTGGGTAATGTTGCCTAAAATAAGTATGATAAAATGTTGATAGTGGTTTTTCAAACAAAATTGGCCTCATTTCTGAGCAACCCACTCCCTGTTGAATGTTTGTAACTTTTGAAGTGCGGTGGCCAAACAACCCCACGCATTGATTTATTATTTAAATGCAAGAAATCCTTTTCATTTGAGCTTTTAGCTCTGCGGGCTTTTCGCTTTTCACTCTTAGCTACCCGCTTTCTCCTGCTCTCTTTCTGGCCATCTCTCTGCTCCTCTCATCCTGGCCAAGTTGCCAGTGCGTTTGAGTCATCAGCAACAGTTTGTTTTGGGTCCTTGTGCTCGACGGAAGGATTCGCCAGGACACAAGTTCGCTCGCTTCTCCTGCTTTTGCCTGCCACGCAAACCTTTCGCTCTCTTTGGCTCTCTTGCGGTCGGATTCCTGATTTTTTCCTGTTGAAAAGGAGCTTTATTTTTGCTGCCCGAAAACCTCTTGCTTTTCTTGGGTTCAACTGCAACATTTTGTGGAGGAGCCTGGTAAGAGAAGACACAGCGACGCCACAGGAATAAGTACACATATAGCCCATGACTTCATCGCTGGCCACTTGCGAGTGCCACTTGGCCAAGATGATGATGCACTCGACTTCACGCCGCTGGGTGTATTTATTTCACCGCTTTTGGCTGCGCACATGTCTACTTTAATTAATAAATATTAATTCAATTCCGCACAAATTCCATTCGAGGCATTTATTTTGCGCCGTTTGCCGTTCTGGGGATACACGCGCCAGTAGCAGACGTCAGAATGTGTACAGTGAACACTGGCTAGCACAAAATATACATACAGATACATATGTACCTTAAGGAATACTTTCGTGTTCAATCTTTTTTATCAACCGTAGTCAACCTTTTAAGAGTAATATTATAAATATTTCAACGAAAAAATCTTCAAAACAAAGTTTACTAAGTTTGTACATGGTTAACCGTGATGCAAAAATATAAAACCTATACATTTAAAAGCTTTATTAAATTTTGGCAGTATTTTCGTCTAGCTTATTGGTGGTTTTCCCGAAGAGATGCCACTGCTTTAATGGGATTCAAGTACCAAGCCCCGTCTGGCGGTCTTCTGCTTTCGTATTCATGGCACAATGATGCGCCTTTGTGTCCATTATGCTCGCCCAATTACGCATGCCAGCCGACTGCGAGAATCTCCGCCTGCCGACTGGTTAGGGTATGGAACGGGCGAAAAAACAACAGCATAAATTTGATTTTCTTGGGCCATTTGGCCGCACAAGTGTCGGCGATTAATTTATACAAAGCACGTTCCATTTCTTTCCAATTGGATTGAATGCGGTTTCGTCATTAAAATTAATTAGGCCGAACCTTCGAAGATGCTTTTGGGCTAAACTTCACTTAGTTAATAAGCACGAAACGTGCTCGGTGCTAATGGAGATGTATATTATATGACATTTCCCTTTCAATTTTGCAGGAGGGTCCACATTCCACATTGCCCGAGGATGAGTTCTTCGATGCGGTCGAAACGGGCCTGGACAAAATCGAGGAGGACATGCAGCTGCGCTTTAAGCTGAAGCTGCAATCCCAGATCTCCCAGACACTGGTTAACGTTCCACACGAGGCGGTGGCCGAAGGCGAGGAGGCGCGCGAGGAGTTCGGCACGGGTGCGGAGGCCACCAGCCATGCCCTGTGGCCGGAGGTAAGACCGGAAATTGCCAATCTGGCCCCCTAACAACCAGCCATTAATTGGATTTATCCCGCAGATCGATCGCGTGTGCAAGGAGCAACTGCACTACGCACGCGAGGGCGTTGGCCAGGACGGCAATGGCTGGCAAATCTTTGCCGACGAGGGGGAGATCAAAATGTACAAACGCGAGGAGGAGGTCAACGGGCTGGTCATGGATCCCCTGAAGGCCTATCACACGGTGCAGGGCGTGACGGCGAGGGAAATGTGCCATTACTTCTTCATGCCCGAGTTCCGAAATGACTGGGAGAGTAAGTAATTGCATTAAACTGGGTTTCACTTTTATTTCTTTTAGCTTAAAGCACGCTAAAATGAAACACTGCAAGGCTTAATGCAGCGTTTCGCTTTTAATATCATAACTAAAGATATGTGCGCTTATCTGTTAAAGCTTATCTAACTTTTTATTCAAATGTTGTACTCTTTAGCTACTTTGGAGGACTGCACAATCCTGGAAAAGATCTCGGCGGACACCCTGCTTTTCCTGCAAACCCATAAGCGGATATGGCCGGCGAGTCAGCGGGACGCGCAATTTTGGTCGCACATGCGCAAGATCACAGACAATCTGGAGCCGGGCGCCCGGGACATGTGGGTGGTGTGCAACAACTCGACGGAGTACGCTAAGCAGGAGTCAAAGAATGGAAAGTGCGTACGAATCTTCCTGACCGTAATCCTGGCCTGCCAAACCCATCTGCCCGAGGGTTACGTGAAGGGCCAGCCCCTGAATCGCAACGATCTAACCTGCAAAATAACCTACTGCTCTGTTGGTGAGTACCCTCGATCTTAAATTAAAATATCACATTTCATTTACGTGGGTTTCTATTATCAGTTAATCCTGGAGGCTGGGCGCCTGCGAGTGCTCTGAGAGCCGTGTACAAGCGCGAGTATCCCAAGTTTCTGAAGCGCTTTACGGGATACGTAATAGACCAGTGCAAGGACAAGCCCATCATGTTCTGATATTTGCCATAAGCAACAAAGCAATCAAAAACCAATCAAAGCTGAATCGTCTCACGTATTTGGCTTGAACTTTATCCTTAATAAGCCTCCAGTTTGTGGCCTCAACTATATTTTGAAATCTGTTTTGCTACTCCTTACTTCAATTCTATAACCATTTCGTTGAGTTTCACGACTTTGGTTCTTTTGTACAAGAGTGTTCTCTATGCGAAATGTTAGAATCGCTTTTTGTATCTGCGCTAGGGCAACTAAGATATAGTGTAACCTATTTAGCCGTAAGTTATTTGTAAGTGAAACACAATCATTGTATAGATCTTAGTTCCGAAACTTTCTATCTGTAATGTATATCTTTATGAAAATGCTTTAAATGCAACAATTGCAAGAATGATGTGAGGGATGCATAGCTACATATACGAAGGCTTTCCTTTTGGTGTGAATCTATATTATATGTATATCCGCATACGTACGAGACGAGTATATATATTCCCATACTCCCGCCCAGAAACACCGGTTTTACTCAACTGTCAAGTGTAAATAAATGCGACTTACTGTTATCTCCAAAAAAAAGATAGATCTTTACTTGGTTTTATCATATGTCAAGTCATGTATTTGAAGTTTTTCATAGATTCCACGAACTATTTTCAATGTACATAAATTGTGCTGTTTTAGAAGAATTTTCGTGTGTAATTTTACAACTTGCTTATGTTTTTTTCTTTCTTTTAATCGCAATGTGCCAAAACACCTTTTTTCAAATTTACAACCGAGTACTGCAGTTGAAGAGTATTAAATGCCTACAATTTTCTTTGGTTTTTTGTTGTGCAGTCTGAAAAGTTGCCTTGCCAAATGTGTTTATCGATTCTAATTAATTCGTTCAACTTCAACTTTATAAGTTTATCATCCACGACTGGAATTACGTTTACAATCTTTGGTTTTTACGTTAATGCTTTCTATATGTGTGTACTTGTTGTGTCATATTGTCATGTAATTGGTTGCTTGGTTGTTGTTTGTCGTTGTAGTAGCTATTGGAAAATAGAGTTATATATACGAGTGTCCATATGGTACAGGAGCAGTGTCTGTGTATCGGATGTGTATGCTATTTGGCAAATATTCGTCTATATCTGTTGGTATTGGGTTGGTAGTGGTCTAGTTTGAGCGGTCGCTTAGTTTCGGCTTGTGGAAATGCATGCTGGTTTGGCTTTCGGTAATATCTTCCTCTAACATTTAATACGTTCTTATGCTCCATGTATTTTCGGTTTTGTTGTATAATACGATTTTAGAAGTAATTGTATGACGCTTAGCTATGTACAACAGTTTCATAAACTATGTGAATGCATTCGTGTTATTGTATCCCCGTAAATTAATTTTATTTATTTAAGTAACTAGCTAACAGTTGTCAAGCATTCTGGTCGCAAACACTTACAAACTGATGCAAAACTTGAAAACTTGAAAACTGGAAACAAACAATGCAGTTCAACCAAATGTCCATAATTCACTACAAATGCAAAGAATTTCCGCATTCTCTTCAAATATCGTTTATAGTATTATTATGCGTATATAGTACTATACGTTATCTGCTTTTGCCCGACACTTCACATCTGCGGCCTGCCGCAGTTCACTTTATCATACATTAAATGCTTAAGTTAGGATCTATAACATTAATTTATTTATATTCCTCCGTCTCTGCGCTCGCCTCAACTTTTTCAAGCTTATCTTCATTACACATACGCAGCTTTTCAAGTTTAACTAAGCATAATCAGTGTGTAAATAAGTCTTATGGTTTATTTCTCGCGCTGTATCCATTCGTTCGCCACATCTGATGTTCGTTGAAAAGCAAGTTCCTTCTAAATCTGTTTAATATTTGATTCATTCACTTATCTGCAAGTCCGCTCTTTTGTAAATAGTTGAAATGCATTTCATTTACTGACTTTAGGTATTGTTTTCAATTTTTTTTTTATAGCTGGAAGTGATTTTCTTTGAAGTCTGTCGAAATTTCAATACAATTTCGAAATTGTTTCCTCGTTTTTGGGTGGATTTACAACAAATTGTACAGTTTCGTTACGCGCGATTTCCGTTTATACATTTTTGTAGTTTAAGATTACGTTTAAAAATTAACTTCCTTCGTCCTGGGGGCCTAGACATTTATCTGGAAAGCCTCCCGGTGTAGTTTCTGATTGGCACGCATTCGTGGCGACGTCTGGGTCTTCGTCTTGTCGTTGGCATCCGAAAAACGAGCTGGTGGATTTATGTGGTCCTGATAGTTTGGTGGATAGTTGGATATGCTAAACGTACAGGGTTCTGATTACGTAAGTAGCGGCAATCGACACATGGCATTTTAACGAGATCACTTACCTAAAAGTAGTTTCTTCGTTGTGGCTGGAATAACCACTGGAACTTCGCACGTGCCGTTTTCCGCTGGTGCCCGGCTTTCCGCTCTTCCGGGCGGCGAAGGGCGGTTTCGATTTCCGGGTCATACTAGTGGGCGTGGTTTCGGAGGAGGACGAAGTCTCGTCCTGGGTATCTGAAAGTGCAAAGGCGCCCTTTAGTATTACAGTAAGCTACACTTCGTTTAAATCTTCTAACTACGAGTATAGTATATAATAGAACTTCAGAGATGGTATACCGGGTATTCTCCTGCAGACTTACCACGTTGTGCACGATACTTGGCCGAGTTTAGAGCGCGCGCAGACACATCATTGTCGGACTCGGAGCCGAGTGTGTCATATTCTGTAATTGGGATGTGAAGCGTTAGGATTTTCCTAACTTCGGAATCTGTTGAACCTGGATTGTCCGATTCTAAAAAGTTTAGTACGATTCGATGGATTTGTACGTTGTTTGTTGGTTTTTATCGAGATGATGTACGAATGTGGGTGGAGAAAAACGTTGAGAGCAATGAGAAAAAGATGGGTTAAACCAAGGGCTCGGTGGATCGTTTGGATTGGCTTCTGGATGGGTTTGGGTGCGAGACTGTGACAAGCGATGATTCAATTTGGCTTACAGCTAGACGGAATCAGTGGATTGGCGGAGGGACACGGGGTTTGTACGAATGACAGGAGGGGTGAACGTTAAGACCATGTCATAGCTACCTTGGCTCTCTGAATGAGGATCCCTGAGACGACCCACTTTTCGCCGCACCTTGGTGTACTCCGGTTCCTTGGACTACGTACAGATACATGATAATTATCAACAATACAGTGTCTTGTATCAATAAGTTATTGGAGATGGCTACTGTACTTACGTGATAGCTTTCCGGCTTGACATCGTGGTAGACAAAGGATCCGCGCACCGAGTGGTAGGGCCCACTGTAGACATTGCCGCTGTAGGAGCTCTCGCTATAAGTCTGTTTGTTCAGTTGAAAGGTTGCATACGGGCAGATGTCCTCGATGTACTCGTTCCCCTCCGCCTTGCCAAAGCTGCCGGAATCATTGGAGTTGGATCCCCGTGGAGCGGAGGTGCCCGGATTACATCGCACGGCTAGGTACTGTTGGTCCCGATTCTGTTTGTTCTGCAGATTGGCCAGCGACGGCGACTCCGACATCGAGGAACTGGCCAGACGGGCCTGGCTAGCTAGCTCTGTAATATAAAAGCTATAACTACATGTTCCATTTTAACTTAATCCGTTGATCCCTTACTTCGCTTTCTGAGAAATAGCGCGGCACCAATCAAAGCCAGCAACATCAGGAGGGAAAAGCATATGGGCAGCAGTAGCTTAAAGTTGGCATAGAAGGGCAGGTCGCTCAGGTGGGATACAGGTGTGGAGTGGTCGTTGTTATAGATCACTAAAATATAAAATGCGTTTTTAAATATCCCATCTTAAGAAGAGCGTTGTTTGAGAGCCTACCTCCTTGTGTGGACAGCGTGGTAAAGTTGTAGATGGCAGTGGTGGAACCGGCATTATTGTGGGCCGTGACTTTCAGTTGGTACTTGGTGCCGGGTACCAGATCGCTCACCGTGTATATCCTTTCCGTCGGCGGAATGTGATTGGAGACCACCGCCCACGAGGAGCGGCCATAAACCCTCGACTCGATCATGAAGTACAGGATGCCGCAGCCACCATCTCCCCAGGAGTCCAGCCAGCAAGTGACGCTCGTTGAGTTATTGGTGATCATCTGGGAGTGCTTTGGTTGCACGGGTGGATTTCCCTTCGTATAGGAGTTGACTATGTCGCAGGGTAAGCCCGTTCCAATCTTATTGTAAGCGGTTATATACAACTGGTATCGAGTGCCACACCACAGGTTGGTCAGCAGGTGCGACGTGGTCTTCGAGTCCACCTGCAGCTCCTCCCAGTCCCCATTGTCGCGCTTGTAATTGATCACGTAACCCAGAATGGGACTGCCACCGTGACTATTGTCCATCCATTCCAGGAGCAGACTGTCCGTGTAGGCATTTATCACCGTGAGATTGGGTGCCTCGGGTGGCACCTTCACCACAATGTTGTACACGATCTCGTCCTTACCCCAGGTGTTCTCCACACTGCAGGTGTAGTTTCCCGCATCACTCGCCTGGCACTCCTTCATGTAAAGCGTGCCATTCTTGGCTATCGTCTTGCGGGCACTCGTCTCCATATTGTGGCCATCCTGGCGCCAAATGGTAACGGGAGCAGGGGCTCCCACCTTTCGGCACGGCAGCTCCAGATGCTCCTTCCAGGGCGTGACTATCCGCTGGCTGAAGGACACAATGCGGGCGGGCACCTTGTTGTTTGGCGGCACCGTGACCACTTGCGTCTTCTCGCCCTCGCCCATCTTGGTGGAGGCAGTCAGCCAGAACTGGTACGTGGCCGACTCCTGGGTGCGCACCGTCTCGTGCATCTCCACGAATGGACCTAGGAGACGCTTATGGGTGCCCTCCTCGCGTCCGCCCTCCAGCATGGACATGTAGAAGGTGTAGCCCGTCTGGAATGCAAGAACGGGTCGAATAATAGTATTTATAAGCTGTTGATGATTATATTGATGAACATGTAGAAGCGCCAAGCAGTTTCAGAGGACTCTGACTGTTCCCGAACATTAAATTTCTTAGATATTGGTCAGAAATGGACCAATGCTAATACCAAACTCTCTTTCAAAATGTTCAATAATGTTATTTTTGAATATTATCTTTAATAATAATATTATCCCTCCTCTCCACTTGCTTTTAATGGGCAACATATTCCTTTTGATCCTCAAAAGGGCTGACCTTGACGAGACTTCCCTAACTAATCCAATGATAACGAGCCCTGGGTTATTACAAAAATATACTCACAATGTCACCATTGGGCAGGTCGGGCGGCAGCCAGGATATTATGATTTTTGTGCTCGACGCGGGTATCGCCTTGATGGCCTGCGGGGCGGAGGGCACTGCATTCCACGATTGCGATTGCACAAATAAATGAACGTATATATGTACATAGATATGGTATATAAATAAATGTATGTGTCAGCAGATGGTGGTCGTGTGCACGGTGTTGCATGGAAATTGCCGGCGCGGCAGCGACAACGAATCGAGGTGGCTGGCGAGGATTGGGGATGAGCAGGGGCGCAATGGGTACGATGGCTGGATTGCTGGATGGGATTGGGGGTGTGCCGCACCTCGTTCGCGTTCATTGAACCGAACGCCACTTACCATCCTCGTGGGTGCGGCAATAAAACGGTTTGGTTTTCATGCCATCGCCTACTTTGGTGTAAGCCAAAACCCAGACCGTGTAGTTGGTGTATTTGCGCAGATTCTCGATGGTGACGTATTGATTTGTTGACTTGACAACCTCCGGATCGGTTTCTGAGCACGTGCATCCAAAGCAGTGCAGGCGGCGAGAGAAGGAGAGACAAGAACAATTAGCGCTGATTGGAAATATGAGGACCATGAAGTGGGCTAATTAATTGCCGAGTGCCATAAATTTCAAAAATAAGTTGGCCAAGAGGCTGTGGTTTTGGTCGACAGCATTCTGGTCACATTCCAGCGTGGTAATTGACCAGCGCTGCTGTGGCGTAAATGCATTGAAATCCCCATGAAACTGTCGTACTTTACTGGTGATGAGATGTTTAATTGCGAATTAAACATAATGTAAGCAGCCACGAGTCTCAGCTTAATCAACATATTTTTTGTGAAAGTTACTTTGCAAAAAATATACAAAAGTATTAGCTTATTCTTACATTTAATGCACTGGCCGATTCAAATAATTTTACGATTGATGGAGCATCGAATTAAGCTGTGCCACAATGGCCTCTCAAAAGCAAATTTCGAGGCAGACTTACCGTACAGCTCGTCCACCGATATGTAAAACACTTTGTAGCCCTTGATTTTTCCATTTTGACCATCAACGTCCGGCGGTGACCAGGTGATATAGATCGATGTGGAGCCCAGGACATCGCACTGCGGCGATTCAGGCGGCGATGAGGGAACTGCAGAGGAGGGCAAAGAGCTTGTTAAACGATTTTCTTGCACTACCAAAATACTTATGATGTTCGAGTAAATTTGACTCAAAATTTTTTTAATTCACCCCCAAATTGTTTTTCTATGATTTGAAGCACTAAGATAATAAATGTGGTTTTCATTTCCCTAGACACTAAGGAAAAACACCTCGGATTTCTTGATTTTTCCGAGTGCATACCGTGACTCCCTCTCGAAGTCAGCCGTGGTCCAGGTCAAAATTCGTGTACGGCCAATTAACAAAAGCAATCAATGTCAGCCCAACCCAACCGAATCCCACTGCCCCATCCCACCTTCAACACTCACCGTCCTCCATTGTTTGCACGGCAATCTCCTTGCTCGGTGGTCCGCTGCCCTGGCTCGTGTAGGCCTGGACAATCACATGGTACTGGGTGAACTTGTTGAGATTGGCCAGCACCGTCTCGCCACCGAAGTGGGAGCGCACCTCGACGGTCTTGAAGCTGAATCCCTGCGTGGGATTAACCTCCTTGTCCTCGGGCGTCAGCGACATCTGGTAGCCCACGTAGTAGCCGAGCAGGATGCCGTTCCAGTGATCCCGCTCCGGTGCATCCCAGGTGACGAAGATCTCGGTGGAGCTCTTGGGCTCAGCTCGCACGGCTAGTGGTGGACCCGAGGGCACCTCCTCCAGCGTGGTCACCTGCACCACCTCCGAGAACTCGGAGGCACCCAGCTTGTTCTCCGCCGACATGCGGATGTGATAGGCCTTCGCCGGTCGCAGCTGCTGGATGTTGATCACGGTCTGGGCTCCGGCGATGGTCAGGTGCTCCGCATTCTGCCAAATGTCTGAGGGCGAGAAGAAATCTAATTATTTGTGTATTTTAATAGTCACATGTCGGCAGAGTTCAGTAAATTATCAATTATCAATTATCAAAAAAGATATTTAATTCTTCGTCAATATATTTTACTCCTAAAATATTTGTTAATGTTTTTAATATTTTATTGTATTCTTTCGAGTCCGTACAACTAGGCGGATATGCCATATTTTCCCTGGCAATTACTAGGCGGATACGTAATATTTATAAGACATTTGTGGGTAGTGTATGTTACATATTTGGCAATGAAGTCACTGAAGATAATTGTAGATGCCATTTGTCTTATATCAAAATATTCAAATTTATATCACCTTACGGACTTAATATTCCTTTCCTACCTGATATCTGTTTGTAGTAGATGTGGTACTCCTCGATGGGACTATTTCCGGCAAAGGGTTGGCTCCAGGTGAGCTGGAGGCTGCGCGACTGCTGCGAGTTGATGCGGAGGTTCTTCGGCTGCTCGGGCACTTCCTGCACGATGAGCTGGATTGACATCTCGTCCTGCCGAAATGGAAAATCGAATGGACTTGTATTAGTTCCGCCTAGCTGACGTTGATGATGATGGTGGTGGTGTATAATGGATAATGGATATGGACTTGGGCCGAGTTAGCGCTTTAAGAGTTCATTTGCGCCTAGTGGGGGTCATGACAGGCAGCCAGTTGCAGCTGCTGTTTGAGTCTCATTCAAATTGCCATAAATTAGGGCTAACAGCAGTGGTGGAAGGGGAGAAGAGGGTCTCTGGGCCAACTTGCAGACAGACGGGGCTGGGACAAAACTTTTTTGACAGTGTGTGAGTTGTGCCAGCCAGCCAGCAGCAAACTTGTAGATTTTGTACACCGCAAACATTAAATTTGCTTAACTATTTTAATTCGCAGTATTGGCCTTGTATGAGTAAGCCAAAAAAATTAATATTTGAAAGCTTAAAATTAAGAAAAATTATAGTTTTAAAATTCAACAGCAAAATGTTAAAAATGGACTTTCCATTAAAATCCAAGAAAGAAATCAGCCTGGTATACTTTTAGGCATATAAATATGTAGACATTGCTGTGATATTGATGGGGCTGGTTCTAATGGCTTCTTGGGTTCTGCGAATACATCTAGAACATGTTGAGCGTATTTTAAGCGTATTTTTCCGTGTATATCCAAGTGATTTATCGCTCTCACAGAGCTGACAACGTTGCAAATAGCGATCGAAATGAACTAGAGCTCGGCCCAATTCCATTAGTCCACCGACAGTTTGATTTAAGTCAACTCGATACATAATAATATCAGGGGCTCGGTGTCGTGTGCCACACAAAAGTGTCAGCCTTGCAACTTACCTGTCCGAATGCATTGCTCGCCTGACAGATATAAATGCCCGTATCCTGGCGATATGTGTGCGAAATGCCCAATTCGGAGACCATGCCGTCGTCGAGCACTTGATCTCTTATTGTGTAGCTATGTGTGTGTGTCGTGTGATTTATATGCAAGTAAATGCAGTCAGGAGACACGGACGCACGGATACAGATGCAAATACAGATGCACGCCAGGTGCAGATGCAGATACAGAACCAGATACACAGATGGAGATGCAGATACGGATACGTGGATGTGGATGTGAATGTGAATGTGGGATACGTGTTTGCGCAACGTGAGCGATGCAATGCAATTTTATAACAATGTTTTCCACGTTGTTGGTGTGCCAGTTGTAGTTTTGTTGACAAAGACGAAGACGTACGAGTCCGAAATGCGCACACAGATACGCACATGCACGCACACAGGCGCACGGCACACACGTGGCATTCGTGTGCGTGTGCAAATGGCATAAATAAATAAAACGCATGTGCATATTCAGTTGTTTGCGAAGCCAAAGGCAGGTGGTAGTGTATGTGTGTGTGTTTGGGGGTGTGGTGGTGTGGGGGTGTGGTGTGGGCCGGAAGAAAAGAGAAAGCCGGAAATACATATACATTAAAACACTTACGATACACAAATACACAAGGAAACAAGTGGGCACTAAAATGGAACTGAATCTCCAGCTCGAAGGCCATGGAAATGGCATTTCTAAATAGCAAATGCAGGCACAAGTTTTCTTTTGCATTGGATGGTCTTTGTGAAGTTCTTGGAGCGAGGATACTCGGAAAAATAGTTATCAACTCAAGACTTGGATTAGATTCCAAGCGAAGTGCTGACCTATTTCCCCGTTTTTAAGTTGTGCTCATAATTGGCAAAAGTTGTTTAAGATTGTGATATTTCATATTTATATTGATATTGATGTTCACACTCGAGAGAATCAAATAGAAATTTTTCAAAGTGTTTGGCAAATACGCTGGGGAATTGAAAGCCCTTGATTAGAGTCTGGCATATGAGAATTCTCATTGCGAAAATATGAGGCAGACACAGAAGGACTGAAAACTCATTGCCTGGTGAAAATTGAGTTAGGTCTTGGCCAAGTGCTGGTATCCCTGCCCAGCTGCAGAGCACCAGATCTGGAAACGAAATCCAAGCCCACACAGAACTCCTTTAATTAAAAGCAATTTGTTGTTTGCAATCGACTTGGAATTGATTTCGCCAGACACGCAGACACTTAGGAATGGGAAAATCCCTAAAAGTGGGCAGGATTGGGATTGGATTGGATTCGCTCTCTTACCGGGAATCCAGCGACTCGTCGAGATACTGTTGCGTTGCCTGGATTTTCCATTTAAAGTCGATGGGATTGTCGCCCTGCACGTTGCACTGCACATGGACCTGCTTTCCTTTGGCCACCGAAATCTGTTTCGTCTTTGTCTGAAAGTGGGCGGGCACTGCAAGAAAAGGGGCGTGGCATTAAATTAGTGTTACAATATGCAGTCTGAGCTCAATCCCATTTCAAGCAAGTGCAGAACTTCAATATTATCTAATGTTCTTTAAGGCCAATTGAGGCAAAGGCTTGTTATCAATTCCTTAAACGTTTCATACAATTATTGTTACGTCACAACTACTCAGGAATGTACTCACCATTCACTTTGAGGAAGATGACTTTGCTCACACCGGAACCAATGTTATTTTTGGCCTCGCACAGGAAGTGTCCTTGCGACTCCTTGCTGATCTTCTTGAAGAAAATGGTTCCGTTCGGAAATAGCTGCACTGTGGGCTCGTAAAGGAAGTCCTTGTACTCCCCTGGCGTTGGTCCAATCGCCTTTTTCCAGGTAATTGTCGGTGTGGGGTATCCTGAGGACTGACAGTGCAGAAGGACATCTGCCCCCGCCTGGGCACTCGAGTCCTTTGGCTCCAGGATCCACTTGGGCGGCACATTCACGGTCAGGGGTACGGTGAACCTTTCCGTACCCGCCACATTGCTGGCAATGCAGGTGTAGTTTCCGGAATGGTCAGAGGATATGTGCTCGATGACCAAACTTGCCGAATACTCATCCAGGCGACGGAACACCTCATTGCTGTTGAGCAAAAGGAAGTATTTATGGTTCAGGGTGTTCTTCAAAAATGTTTCCCAATTATTTAGACTAAAAGTGAAGTTAACAAAGTCTAGAACTCACCCCGTTCCAATCAGTGGCTTTCCGTTGCGCTCCCAGCGAAAACTGACGGGCAGGTCGCCCTCGAGGATCTGGCAGGAAATGGCGGCGCGCATTCCCTCGCGGAGCATGTTCGTCATCGCCTGGATGGGCATAATTTTCGGCGGCACTGCAATCGGAAGGAAGCCATAAAACATGAAACAACAGTCGTAAACCAAAAAACGCTTTGATGGGCGGGGGGCAAAAACGGTTAGTGTCGCGAAAATCGGCTAACAATTGCCATGGCAGTTGGCTTGAGCACAAAACCCACTGAGCTCGATAATCAAGGATGTTTTGGTGGTGGAACTAAGGGGGCGTTCGCTGGGCGTGGCACTCGCATCAATGCAACTGCGGCTTGGCAACAGCTGCCGAGTGAATTATTATAAAGAGTAAGGCAGGAGGAGTCGGATGACGAGGCGCAGTTGCCGCAGACAGAACACAAAAGTCAATGACTCCATTGTGGGTCTACTAGCAGCCCACAGCCACCCCTCAGCCATCCAGCAACCACCCGCAAGCCACCCATCAAACACCACCCACCACCCACAGCCTGCATGTGCATTAACTGGGAAAATAGTTGCTGTTGCTTTTGCTGTTGCGGCTGCATAGTTTCGCTCGCCACTCTAATTGGAATAGTTTCATTGTAGCAGCTGCAGCGGCATTTTCAAGCCTCCATTTCCAGCTTGCGCTTTCGCAATTTTAAATATCGGAAAAGAGGAACTCACCCAGCACTTGGATCTCCACATTCCGGCGGGATGTTTGCTTCTGCTTGTTCTGGGCCATGCACGTGTAGGTGCCCGCATCCTCGAGGCGCTGCAGTTGCTCGATAATTAAGGTGCCATTGTTGTAGGCACGCTGCCTGCGATTTATGGGCAGCGTTTGGCCATCTTTTATATTATTCGTTTTTTTCCATCATTTTGAGGCAAGAAAAAAGAGCGTGAGAAATGGGAGAAAGCGGAAAGAGGTTGGCAATTAATTTGGCTGCACCGCATAAAACAAAGTTATGCGATTTATGACTGGCCATATAGCATTTGGTGTCTCTATTTTTTGGCACAGCTTATTTATTTGCATGCACTAGTGGAAGCGGAGTAGTTGTATAAGAAATAAGCAAAATAAAAGCGGATTTATTGATTCAGCTTGGGGAAAATATCAATGCTAGCTGCTTTGAAATAAAACACCTACATTTTAATTTTACATTTTATTTTAATGTTTTTGAATAGTTATACATTTAAGAAATTGCTTTGACAGCCTTCAAGTGTAAACTTCATATTTAATTCACTTCGTGTTTCAATATTTATTCACCTCAAACTGAAAATCGCCAGAGTATTGCTGATTACTTTTGTTTTTATTTTTATTTTTGGAAATATATGCATCATAAACAAGAATATATGTTAACGCACTCACATGCGAGCGTGCAAAGATAATAATTAATAATAATAAAAAACGCGGTTATTCGAATTTAAATTTATTTCGCTTGAAACCGAAAGAAACTGCGTTTCAAAAGAATAACGTTTGTTTTGCAGTTTTAATAATTTTCACTGATATGCGCAATAACAAACATACCATTTTTAATAACAAACAACTGGCCAAAAGGCAAATAAGCATAAAGCGAAACATCATGACCAAAAAAGATATCAAATATATATGCCACACACCGCATCGCATATCCGAATGGGTACACAGATATACGAGTATATACATATGCACATATTTTTTTAAATATATTTTTATACATATAGCTCACCTCGCTCCCAGTGAATTTTATCGATGGGGTAACCAGCCACGGGACATTTAACAATCAAATCAGAGCCAGAAATTCCTGTTATTTTTGGCATTTCGCGTATGTAAGGCAAGCCATAGATGTTCACTTTGGCGCTGTGCGAGACTCTGGAAATAAAACATTGGCAGACCTTTAGTTTGGTCCTCGAGATGGGGTCGTGAATGGGCATAAGACTTCCCTAATTTATTCGGGAAAATATTTCTATAGTTTTAGTTAACTGCTTTCTTTATTTGCAATCATAATTTCCTTTCTTTCAAATACATGAAATATACTACTTAAGATTTTAGCTTCATTCAATTTTAGACTAGGTTTAAATATAAATGAAATTATGAACAATGATGCTCATCTATTCCACATATCTATTTATGATTCCGTGCCTGATCCTGGACACTTTTCCATCTCTAGGGTGGAGTTGCCTTGGCTGCCTCAGCAAATCGTTTGGTTTTTATGCCGCTCCCCTGCCTGCAAACAATGCGCGCCCATTGTGTAGGACTTCTTTTTCCCCCAACAAGCCTTGAATGTTTTTTTCTATGCTACGGCTAAATTTATGATTTAGCATGGAAATGCTTTTTATGCCCCTATCGAGCCTATGCAACATACATGGCACAACAAACCCATACCCATTCCATGCAGCAGATCCATACCTACATATAGGAAAGTGCTCGCCGAGTGTGGTTTTTATTTTTTTATTTATGGAACTGCGGCTACTCACTTGCCAATTGCATTCTGGGCCGTGCAGGTGTACTCCCCGCCGTCCTCCTCCTTGACATTTGATATATTCACGTGGCTGATGACATCGTCGTGGATGGTAACATATTGACCCACTAAAAAGCGCGAGCTGTCTGGTATCTGAAGTGGGGGGAGTGGAAGTTCGTTATCAGAGTGGGCCAATTAGCCAGGCCCTTTTGGAGAGGCTCAGTGGGGAAATCAGGGGAGTGTCGGGGTGAAGTAAAAAATGCATGTAAATCGAATTGATTGAAACTGCACAAGACTTGCAAAGTGGAAAGTCTGTCCCTCGCTCTCTCTCTCTCTCCCTCTCTCTCTGAAGGGAAAATGAAAATTTATGCAAATAAACGAAACAAATCCCTGTAAATATAGCCAGGGCAAAAAAGGCAACAGAACTGAATTTCTTGAAACGAAAAAATTCAAGTGGAGCTGAGGAAGGAAAAGCAAAAGAGGGGCACTTAGCTTTCAAGGGTTGAAATTGGCTGGGTTATTTTGCGTTAGGTCGCATTTTGAGCAAAGGAAAATTTGGGATTTAATATTATTATTATTTGGGATCAAAATATTACTGTGGGAACAGAAACAGTGACAAATATCTAGCGAAATAATAGTATAATAGTTTCAAATGACGACTTAACTATCGGCAACTGCTTGGCGGAAACGGAAGTACTGCCTGCATTTCCGTCTTAAGCTCAAGCTGAGTTTGGCCGTTTGGCGGTTGAACTCACCGGAAATCCGTCCAGGGACCATGTAAATTGAGGCAGTGGATTTCCGGTGGCTACGCACTTCAATGATACCGTGGGTCCTGGCTGCAGCGTTTGCTCCGAGAACCAATAAAGCAGTTCCGGCGAGGCATCTGAAACGAACATTAAACGGAAAATGTGAGGGGATGGGTGTTAGTTGAAAACTTTGCTCAAATGAGGAGGCTGACTCTGTGGAAAGGATGCAGGGATGGATGGAAGGATGGAAGGATGTGTGCCTGTCTGTGGGGCTTTCATTAGTGCCTGTTGAAATGGCTCTGCTGCACATGTGTGTGTGTGTGGCTGTTTGAGCTTGTGTCTTTTCTCATCCTTCAGCTTTTTTGATTGCAGAAAGATGATTGCATCGATGGCTTGCTTCTTAATTATGCACATGACTGAGTTACGTGCGAGCGGGTGTGGAAATCTTCATTAAAATGGCACTCAAAGGGAATCCAATACTCCGAGCAAAAAAATGTAAATAAATGCGAAAGGAATGCGACAAGATTTTCTAAATTTATTAGTTTGCTGATTGCGTTTTCCATATGTTTTTTTCCATATGTTACACTTCATCAAATTATATGTTATATGATGTGCATTTCTGCGCTTTGAAGCTCCGATTCCCTTAAAAGGACATTCAACATCCCGCTTCGAGAGATTTCAGTAAGCATTCCCAGATTTGCACTTTTCGTGTGCGAAGCACTTGCTCAGCCTTCATTGCTTTTCCTTGCGTATTGCTTATGTTGAGCCAAGGCAAACGGAAAATGCATTTGACAAGCGAGCAAATGCTATCCAGCTGATGGAAATTGTATCAATTTCCTCTGGCGCAGTGGTAGCATTTTTTGGCTCTGGCATTCCCAGTTATAAGCTGCCATATTTGTTTGCTCTCTCGCACACTCACACACTTGCAGAGCACAGTGACATACGAATACTGTTGCAGCGTTGACACAATTGCTGCCATATCCGGCCGCTTAATGGCGCTTTTCTCGGTGGTTGTGGGTGGTGCGGGGGTGCGGGGGGCTTTTGACGCCCCAAAGGAAAAAAGAAGGCGGTGGGATTCCACTTCCTGGCCCGCTTTTCTCCCCCGTTTTCCTCTATTGTGCCAAGCATGCCAATAATATATCGAAATCAATTTCCGCTTACGCCTAAAAGCAAATCACAAAATGTTGCCAAAGCGACAAAGCGCGAATGTGTCTGCTTTGATGTTCATGCGGCATCGGATAACAAGATAACACAGATGGAAGGCCAATAAAGCGGATTATCTCTCCTACGGGAAGTGGAGAATCTGGGTTATTGTGTGGCTGACTAGTTCATGTTTCTATTGGAAACTGAAACCAGGAAATAAATTAGTTTTTTAATTGAGAATTAAGGCTTTCTATCGCATAATCTTTATGACAAACTGGCAAATACTAAACAAAATAAATAATAACGAGTGTTTGTAGAGAATATCATCTCTTTTAATCTTTTTTAACAAAATAAAACGTGCAAAGCCGAATTGCTATTGAATCAGATTTATTAAATTTAACTTTTGTTTGAGGTAATATCATTAGGACCAGAAATCTGTATTTTAGAACTGTAGGTAAGCCTTTTAAATTATACTTGATGTTCTAAGCCGACTTAACTGCTTAGGGATTTTCCCCATCGTAATGCTGATGATCCCAGATTAGTTTTAATCATATTGGAGCTACGCATAAACCCCTCAAAGCGCCCGGATTCATTATGCTCCTGTTTCGTGGAGTGTACGTGGCCCCAAGCCAGCTAAGCGGTACAATGTGCTCCCCCATTCATCTGTAATATCCTGCCCCGCCCAGAAACAATGCCCCTCTGTTTAGTGGCTGCGGCTAGATTTTTAGTGCTGGTAATAAAATTAAGTCGTCGTCGCTGCGTTTTATGGGCAGCTCCTCGTTGTTGTTGCTACACTGTGATTTGTCCGTGCGTTTGTTGTTGTTCGTGTTGTTGGTGAAAAATGTTAGCAATTTGCTAAATTAGAAAATAATGAAATGCAATTATGGCAAACAATTATTTGTGTGGTCTGCGGTCATCATTCGCCGGCTTCGAGGAGGATATTACACTTTTGATTGAGATGGAATGTTTAGGGCGTGGGCGGCCATAAGTGGTTATTAATGGCCATAACGATAAATGGCAAATTTATTAGCCCCATCAGGCGGGCAATATCATAACTTACCGCCCAACTGCAGTTCAGCGGTGGATTGGATCTGCTCCCATTCGTTGGAGACGAAGCACTGGTACATTCCCGGGTCCTCCTTTTGCACTTTTTTAATTATCAGTCTAGGTGGATCGGTGAGGATCTAATTAAAGCATAAATTATAAATATATATTAACATAACGATTAAAACGTATTTATTATTATACCCGTTACTCGTAGAGTAAAAGGGTACACTAGATTCGTTGAAAAGTATTTAACAGGCAGAAGGACGCGTTTCCGACTATAAAAAGTACGTCCCTCTGTCCGTATGAACGCCTGGACCTCAGGAACTGAGATGGTAACTAAGTGGTAAAAAAACTGAATTTATTTATTCAAAAATCATAGAATCCACTTTATTCAAAAACTCAATATTTACGATGCGTCTTTTCTGCATAACTTGGTCAAAAATGGTCCCACGACTAAAAGATTTACAGTTTTTTACTCCTAATTACCTCTACTAACCATCGCTATCACTTTTTGACGGACTTTGAAAAATTAATTTTTGGCCGAATTTTCGTCTTTTTTGTAAGGGGTAACATCATCAAAATTTGCAAAAAATGGCAAAAAATTAAATTTCCAAACTTTGAATTCACATCGATTGGAATTTAAATAACAAGCTCAACGATGTATGACATTCCATATTTGGACAATTATTTCGAATGTTGTGATAAAAAAACTGAATTTATTTATTCAAAAAATCATAGAATCCAATTTATTCAAAAACTCAATATTTACGATGCGTCTTTTCTGCATAACTTGGTCAAAAACGGTCCCACGACTAAACGAATTACAGTTTTTTACTCCTAATTACCTCTACTAACCATCGCTATCACTTTTTGACGGACTTTGAAAAATTTATTTTTGGCCGAATTTTCGTCTTTTTTGTAAGGGGTAACATCATCAAAATTTGCAAAAAATGGCAAAAAATTAAATTTCCAAACTTTGAATTCACATCGATTGGAATTTAAATAACAAGCTCAACGACGTATGACATTCTATATTTGGACAATTATTTCGAATGTTGTGATAAAAAAACTGAATTTATTTATTCAAAAAATCATAGAATCCAATTTATTCAAAAACTCAATATTTACGATGCGTCTTTTCTGCATAACTTGGTCAAAAATGGTACCACGACTAAAAGAATTACAGTTTTTTACTCCTAATTACCTCTACTAACCATCGCTATCACTTTTTGACGGACTTTGAAAAATTAATTTTTGGCCGAATTTTCGTCTTTTTTGTAAGGGGTAACATCATCAAAATTTGCAAAAAATGGCAAAAAATTAAATTTCCAAACTTTGAATTCACATCGATTGGAATTCAAATAACAAGCTCAACGATGTATGACGTTCCATATTTGGACAATTATTTCGAATGTTGTGATAAAAAAACTGAATTTATTTATTCAAAAAATCATAGAATCCAATTTATTCAAAAACTCAATATTTACGATGCGTCTTTTCTGCATAACTTGGTCAAAAACGGTCCCACGACTAAACGAATTACAGTTTTTTACTCCTAATTCCCTCTACTAACCATCGCTATCACTTTTTGACGGACTTTGAAAAATTAATTTTTGGCCGAATTTTCGTCTTTTTTGTAAGGGGTAACATCATCAAAATTTGCAAAAAATGGCAAAAAATTAAATTTCCAAACTTTGAATTCACATCGATTGGAATTTAAATAACAAGCTCAACGATGTATGACATTCTATATTTGGACAATTATTTCGAATGTTGTGATAAAAAAAACTGAATTTATTTATTCAAAAAATCGTAGAATCCAATTTATTCAAAAACTCAATATTTACGATGCGTCTTTTCTGCATAACTTGGTCAAAAATGGTCCCACGACTAAAAGAATTATAGTTTTTTACTCCTAATTACCTCTACTAACCATCGCTATCACTTTTTGACGGACTTTGAAAAATTTATTTTTGGCCGAATTTTCGTCTTTTTTGTAAGGGGTAACATCATCAAAATTTGCAAAAAATGGCAAAAAATTAAATTTCCAAACTTTGAATTCACATCGATTGGAATTTAAATAACAAGCTCAACGATGTATGACGTTCCATATTTGGACAATTATTTCGAATGTTGTGATAAAAAAACTGAATTTATTTATTCAAAAAATCATAGAATCCAATTTATTCAAAAACTCAATATTTACGATGCGTCTTTTCTGCATAACTTGGTCAAAAACGGTCCCACGACTAAAAGAATTACAGTTTTTTACTCCTAATTACCTCTACTAACCATCGCTATCACTTTTTGACGGACTTTGAAAAATTAATTTTTGGCCGAATTTTCGTCTTTTTTGTAAGGGGTAACATCATCAAAATTTGCAAAAAATGGCAAAAAATTAAATTTCCAAACTTTGAATTCACATCGATTGGAATTTAAATAACAAGCTCAACGACGTATGACATTCTATATTTGGACAATTATTTCGAATGTTGTGATAAAAAAACTGAATTTATTTATTCAAAAAATCATAGAATCCAATTTATTCAAAAACTCAATATTTACGATGCGTCTTTTCTGCATAACTTGGTCAAAAACGGTCCCACGACTAAAAGAATTACAGTTTTTTACTCCTAATTACCTCTACTAACCATCGCTATCACTTTTTGACGGACTTTGAAAAATTAATTTTTGGCCGAATTTTCGTCTTTTTTGTAAGGGGTAACATCATCAAAATTTGCAAAAAATGGCAAAAAATTAAATTTCCAAACTTTGAATTCACATCGATTGGAATTTAAATAACAAGCTCAACGACGTATGACATTCTATATTTGGACAATTATTTCGAATGTTGTGATAAAAAAACTGAATTTATTTATTCAAAAAATCATAGAATCCAATTTATTCAAAAACTCAATATTTACGATGCGTCTTTTCTGCATAACTTGGTCAAAAATGGTACCACGACTAAAAGAATTACAGTTTTTTACTCCTAATTACCTCTACTAACCATCGCTATCACTTTTTGACGGACTTTGAAAAATTTATTTTTGGCCGAATTTTCGTCTTTTTTGTAAGGGGTAACATCATCAAAATTTGCAAAAAATGGCAAAAAATTAAATTTCCAAACTTTGAATTCACATCGATTGGAATTTAAATAACAAGCTCAACGATGTATGACATTCCATATTTAGACAATTTTCGTCTTTTTTGTAAGGGGTAACATCATCAAAATTTGCAACGGGTACTGATGGTCGGGAAAGTCGAATATAGCATTCTATCTTGTTGTCAATAAATATTAGAAATATTGTCTCAATTTAATGGCAACTTTATAGGAATGATGTCAAGACTTTCAACCACGAAGTGTCATAAAAATCATACCGAATTGAACGAAATAACCTCTCCGCTTGAGATTTTAAAAGCCGATTAAATTATGGATAATATGGGGGTGTCTGCTCACCTCAACCCGATTGTCCCTGAGTATGGGTTTGCCGTCGTGGAGCCAGTTGACATCGTGGACCGGATGGCCAGAGACAATGCATTGGAATTGCGCATCCTTATCGACATCCACCGTCTGCACCTGTGGCTGCAGGTGCGCCGTCAAAGGAGCTGTGTTTGCGAAAGGGTTGCCAGCGTTTTGAGTGCCCATCTACACACATACAGTGAAGCCCAGAGCCAGATGCACTCACCTGTCACCGTTAGCGACACTTGGATGGTCTCCTCGCCAGCCGTATTGTTCACCCAGCACAAATATTTTCCACTATCCTCGAGACGTGCCTGCGATGGACGAAATCAATTGGCAATCAGCGGGGTTTTCCATCACTTCTGCCCCTTCAACCCGCCCATTATGGGTGTAAAGAAAAAGTTTCAGGCTTCTATCTCAATGAAATTGGTTTTTGAAGATGAGGCTAAGGTTTTTCGAAAATAAAAAAGGTGGGTAACCATTTCTTGGCATATTTGATGAAATGATAGGATAAATATCAATCGATTCCTTATTAAAAATATGCAACCCATTTTGGGGCTGTTATCCAAAGCAACATCATAAAATTAAATGAAACTTTGCAAATGAAGTGAAATTTTCTGGTATTTCTCGCAGTGCAACCTACGCACCTTGGTGATTTTCAGGAGCCCTGCGGATACGATGGTGATGCGTTCGCTGAGTTGCAGCGGCAGCAGTTGCTCGTTCTCCTCCTTGAACCACCTGGAAAAAACGGAGAGAAAAGGGATGACAGGGAGATGAAATGCCGACCAAACAAAGGGCCAAGAACAAAGGCAAACATGGCGGAAATCGGGGAATCGGGAAATCGGGAAATTCATTTCCGCTTTATTTGCCCAAGATTTTGACAGTTGAATGCGAGTGGCGTGGACGCATTCGCGGGCTTTAAACAAATCGAAATGACGATTGAATTATCAATAATTTCGATTCGGCCACGTTTTTCCATTTCTTTTTTTATATTGTTGCCATGCACGTAGCCTTTGATTGTTGGCTTGTTGTGCAGGTCGAGGTCCATGCCAGATGAAATGTATTTCAATAGTTCGTAAAAATGATTGCACTTAAGTGGGCATAACGAGAGGAAGCGGGTGGTGTGGGTTTTATTCATACATATGAATATGCATTGCCTTATTTAACGGGTATTTGTGTTCGAATGGTCTATGAGTCGGGTATATCGAGTGTGTTATATGCTGTGCCGCAATAATGTGAAAAATCTCAATATTTAAGCTTAACATTACATGAGTACTGGTATTATATTTGCAGTAATCAGTGCGTTTTTTTATTTGTGTTTTGATTTACCTAATATATTTTATTCTTAACACAAAAAATCAAATGTGAGTCCACATTAATTTCCCATCTTTTATTTAATATGCCTTGACATGCATTTCATAAAGTGTATTTTCAGTATCTGTGAACTCAATTTGCATGAATTTCTCAACCAGAAGAACGAGAACGAATGCTGGTTGAAGGTTGCAAATATCTGAATTGCGTAAATCAACAGATTTTTTCCACTTTTATCTGGTGCGCGTGTCATAATCTGTTTGATGGCTGCCCCATCCTCACATCCCCACATCCTCCTGCGAGTTTTCCAAGGCGCACGCAGACACATGCAATTGGATTTTTCCCCATAAAAGTTATTGATTTTAATTTGGTTTTAATTGCACTTGAGTGCATTTCACGTCTTACGACGAGCATTTTGCAAAGGCATGCCCATTTGCCCCTGGCATGGCATTCCTTAATTAAAATCATTGAAAATGCCGAGCATGCAATGCGAACGATTTTCACTCTGAGCTATTTCCATATGAAATGCTGTCAAATTGGAAATATGGTCAGTGATTATCAACCACTGCATCAATATGCCACCGGGAGCTGAATGCCATCGAAAGCAGTAGGAGTATCGGTATGTGTAGGTGTGTACACAACAGCACAAAGGAATTGCCAGCGAAACAAAAGCGTCACTCGCCCGAAACTATGCAATGAAAAAGGATTTTTCAAATAGAAGCCAGAGCAGCGAGACAAAAACAGCGTAAAACACACAGAACTCCCAGGCACTGAGCAGCAGCATGGCCAACTATTTTCACATTTATGAGCAAGGACCTCCAGGTCGCCGCGGCAAAACAATGCAGCGACGGCAAACAAAACTCATCCGACCCACACACCCGCGATTCTTTTGCAGATCCTTGCCCGCCTTTTGGGTTTTTCCTCTTTCGGCACGGCGGGAGACATCAAATGAAAGGAGGCACTCGCGATGTGCCACATCCGGGGCGCATTTTTTATGCATGCAACTCGAAGGACGAACGACGAACGACGAGGGATAGCCATGAACCGAGTGCTGCCAACTACAATGGCATATTACATGGCATCCTGCTCGGACAAGGATACTCGGTTCTGGATCTCAACTCCCGCCATGCATGTTTTAGTGCCCGAAAATCGCCATGATGAGCCAAGTGCCAAAGTGGCCGCTCTGTATACGGATCGATGGCAGATGCCACCTCCTCACTCTCATCCTCATCCGTATCTTGAAAGTGCTAAAAACTTGAACGACATTTCAGAAAGCAATTTGCCATTTTCGGCCATAAACGCTGCTCGACTTTTGATTGATTTGTGTCCTCGGTCAGGCAATCTCCCGGCTCTTGTCAAGACAAACGCCTCCGCTAGTGGCCCAATAAACAATTTTGATGTACGAAGGCGCCTTCCAAAGCTGGCAGCTGTTAACCGTACTCCAAAGCGGACGTAAGCATAAATTCCCGGACAAGCAAAAGAAAAGAAATTCCCAAGAAGCTGGCAGCGTGCGATAAAATTGGCCACGACTTAAGGACCCTTCAACTTTTGGACTTCTGAAATAAATCTTTCTTCATATTAATACGTTCATTGTAAGTACCATTAAAACCCATTGATTAACTTCAAATAGCTTTAATCATAGGCTTATCCCCTATTATCCCCCAATAGGAGCGAGGGCCTCCCTCATTTCCATGAGAATCGCATAGAGAGGTCCTGCCGGCAGCGGCCTAACCCCGAATTCCGCCCACAGAGGGCGTCCCTGAGGGCAACGCCTCCCCAGCCGCCGTGCGTCCCACATTTTGACAATTTGGCTGACATTTTTATTATGATTTTTTGTGACATCGTGGGGCTCACGGTATTTTTTTCGCTTTTCGGTTCGTTTCGCCGCATTTTTTGTTTTGTATTTGCCAAGAGCGTTAAATATTTCACATTGCTATAAAGTGCGCGCCAACTGCGGCAGCGGTTTGGTTAACGCTGAAAACCACTGAGAATCGCAGCTGTGTGTCCCGTGTCCCAATGTCCCGGTGTCGCGATGTCCTGGTGTCCGGGTGTCCCAATGTCCCGATGTCCCGTGTCCTGTGACATGGCCACGTGTTCGAAGAGCTCATGCCGTTCTTGTTGATTTTTTGCGCGCGTTTTTTGCAATGTGGCTGTTGTGTTTTACTCACCGATATGTTGGCACCGGATGTCCTTGAGCTATGCACGGCAACGTTGTTTGGCCATTAAGGACAACATGCCGCATCGAATGCTTCTCCACGTTGATGCGCGGCTGTACCATGCCCTTGGGCTCCGTTACAATAATGCGGCCGGGATATGTGGAAATTTGTACTTCACCTGGGGACGAGAGAAGAAATATGGGTGGAAAATGCTGAAAAATATGCGAAAAAAATTGTTCAAGTGATGGCAGCTGACAGTGACCCCCATGGCTTTTACTTAGATTTAAGCGCGCCCCGAATTTATGGCATGTCCTGCGGTCCCCGTTTTACTGCATATATATTTTAATTAATTGAAAGTAAATGAAAGCAATCAACTTGATTGCTGGGCCACCTGGCCGCCCTTTTCCTCTCATTTCCTTCACCTTTTTTATGTTATTTCTGTTCTGTTTTTTATGGCTGGAAAAATCTTTGTTACAGCACACGCACAGGTCCTAAATCAAGGCTGCAGCTCCGGTGGGTCGTCAAATCAGGGCAAAACCATGGGAATCTATAACGAACTTTAGAGATATCGGTCTGCTGTGCGCCTGTGTATTATGCAGCCTGGCCTAACTCAATTCTGCATCTTCATTACGGTGGCCATTGTTTGGATACAGCTCCATTGTTCGCCCGTCCAGTTATTGTGCAAAATAAATGGATTTTTGGCTTAAATTGTAATTACGTGAGTCGGTCCCGAAACCCGTTGCCTACTTTTGTGGGCCAGGTACAAGGATCTGGTGCGGCGTGCGCTTGATAAATGAATTACTCATGACCGTTGCACAACCACCATCCTCGTGTTACACTTTTAATGAGTGCCATTCAGGCGGATTTTAGTGGTTGCCTCTACTGAGTGTGAGGGAATCACCCAAATTGGCATTGTTTCACACACACAGCTACGCATTCCAGGAGCCACTAATATGCAGCTCATAATTTTCGCTTTTGGCCAAAACTCGAGCGCAACTTGCGGTTTTTGCGGCTCGGTTCAATTTGATTAATTAAGCAAATGGCTGGCATACCGGCAACCACAAATTGCATTGGGTTCGGAGAATCCCATAAAATGTAACATTAATATAGCATATAAATTCTGTTTTCAAGATGCAAACATCGAGTGAACTGTAAATAAACCTGGCAAACAGAACACAAAGTCGTACAATCACTCGCACAAAAGGAAAAGGATTTCACATCGTAAAGAATAAAGGGGGAAAACGGCTGAAAGCAGTGAACTTTTATCGTATTGATTGATGATGTGAAATATGCGCACAAAGGCTAATAGAAATTCAGCTTAAGCGCATTTTCACACACAATAAACTTCAAATAAGGGAGAGAATTTATCTCGGCTAGCATCTCACGTATTGACTGTCGGACTGTCGGCACACAACCAGAATCCGATGTACTACATATTTACTTGTGTGTGGATGGTGCACGCATGGTGGAGATTCCATTTCGGAGCAGAACTCCCAGGAGCTCAATGCCCTTTGCCTGCCGATTGAATGTCACGCGTCATAAATTATGCACAAAACGACAAATTGACTTTGGCCGAAGAGGACAAACTACTCCTTGTTTGCTTGGGACTTAAGATGAAAAGACATAAAGGACAGAAAGCGGAACAGACCCGTATTTATGTTCTGAATTACATCTTGTAAGCATATTTTTCCAGCAAGAAAGAGTTTTACTGCTAACAGAGCCCAAGGGAAAGTCTTTTTCAACAGTTTGTCAGAACTTTAAAGCTAGGATTCACCAACAAAGTAAAAAGTGGAATGTTTGTGCTGGTCAGTAAGCCCGGTAAGTTTAAACAACCCACGACCGTAAGAGGATTTGGTTTCAAGAATGAAATATGCTCAATTTTTCGAAAGTGTCGCCCAAGAAAAAAGCTGCTTAATTGTCGTGGCACACACACACCTCGCCCTTCAAAATGACCTTCATTGGTTATTTATATAACTTAATTATAGCTGCCCCGCCAGCTGAGCCAACAATCCGTACGGGTCCGGAGTCGCAGCGCACGGAGTCTACTATCCAGTGCCCAGTGTCCAAAGTCCCGGATTCGGGGGCAACTCATGCATCGCCCAGATGGACGATTAAGCTGGAAATGCGATTATCACGTACCTGTCAGTCTATTTACAGTGCGGCATGTGTAGCTTTTGTACGCATCATTGGGCCCCGCATTATTTATGTACAATTCGCCGTTCGATAGCACCGTGTACTTGCCACCGATGTCCGTGTTCGGATACAGATGCATGCCGGTGTCCTGCACCCAGGCGGTGACCAATACGAATTCCGACATGTAGCTGGGCACCTGTGATAATAAACACATTCGAGTTGCGGGTGTGAGATGAGCAAATTTGATGAGCAAGCCATGTTTTTGGTTCGTATAACGAGATTTGTGGGTTACGTGCATTTTTTTTCGGCCAAGCGAAAGTCCCTTGAGTCGCCTGGCGACAACGGATGATGGATGTGAATGCACTTACCTGACATTTTAGCACCGCCGTGTTGCCCGTCATCACGTATTCATCGTGCACCTGGACCGCGTACTTCTGGTTGACGACTGTAACGAATTAAAAAGCATATTTTATGCAAATGGCATTGGCTTTTTAGGGTAATGCTGCCGACTGACTGAAGTATTACGTATACGCGACGTGGGCCGACAAAGCGAAACAATTATGTTTACCTCCCACTCGCCGCCGTTGGCGTTTTGCTTTTATTAGCCAAAGGACCTTGCATTTGGCTCCAGTATTGTGTGTTTTTGTGCGACTTTTAATTTTTAATGCGGCAGGACCGCATAAAAAAAGGGATCCGCTTGGCTGCGGCAGCCGAAATATGTGCCACATTAAGTTCAGTCGTTGCCCCGCTCGCCGTCACAAAATGAAAATGGAAAACCGGAAAACCGGAAAACGGAAAACGGGAAAACAAAGCCCGCCTGCCCTAACATGTCCAACACATTGTGACACTTTACAAAAGTGTTGCCGTTTGTCAGCCAGACGAAGGTGGTTCGTTTCGTTTCGGCGGGCGGAAAGGGGGGTGGCAGGCTGGTGGGGGTGGGGGTGGTGCTGTGGGTCGGATGACAAGGCCGTTAAAAAATTGGATTTGGCAATTTGAGTTAAAGATTTTTTCGCTGTGCGAGCTCGGCGCTAAATTAAGAATGACAAGGATCCTGGCAATGACAGAAGTGCGCTAAGGCACAGTGGTTGAAGGTGTGTTGAAAATGGCAATTAAAATATGATAGAGCTATAAATTTAGCTTTTTTAGCGATGGAAAAAAAAAACCAAAAAAATAAACTAACACAGCAATAAAGATTATTTAACATTTTAATACAAAATGATTTAAGTTTTGAATCCTAGATTCTTTTAGGAAACGATTTCATTCTAAACATCTGCATATATTAGACAAGACATGTTTGAATACTTAGAATTGAATGGTTTTAGCCATTTTCCTTTTCAATAAGCGGAGATAGCATTTTGAAAATACCTTCTACCACTATGCCAGTGACCAAATGCCTTGCACTTTCCAGCCAAGAGCTTAGCCCAGGTTAGTTGCTGCTGGCAGTTGGCAAATTAATTAAGACGGACAAAGGCAATTGCCAGCTGGCGTGCGTAAAGTGCGTTCCGGTGTTGGCCCTCATCGGGAATCCCCTTCGAGGGCTAATCGTAAATAGATTAGGTCCGTTGGCCAGCGGCGTTTTGCCAAAACGGAGCCGAAAACTTGGCCCAAACGAAACCGCTCGCAAATGTTGATCACGCTCGACTTTTTCTGGTTCGCCGTTTGTTTGCCAACTTTAATATGCTAAAATTGGATAAAAGTTTAATTTGAAAAGTTGTTGTTATTGTTTGCCTACCCCCCCTGCCGCTGCTGCTGTTGTTGTTGCTGTTGTTGCTGTTCTGGTTGTTGGTGCTGTGAGAGTGACTGAAAAACTTTGTGACAACATTTTATTATAATTCCTCTGGCCGCTCTGTGTAGTTTAGTACAATTTTGTTTTTGTATCTTCATTATTTGTATTGCCAGACTCCCGAACAAGCGACCGATTTTTTGTGCACTTCCTTCCATTTTTGTTGGCTTTTCTTCTCTTCTCTTTTCTTTTATTTTCTTTTTTCGGGCGTAAAGCTTTCTATTTTCAGCAAGGCAAAAGTTTTTTCGCCTTTCATGTTGCATTTTGCATGGAAATAGCGCAACTGAAGGACAGGGGCGCACAACAATGTTGTCGAAGGGGCGGCGCTCCAAGAGGGGCGGGGGAGCATCTAAAAAAGGGGGGGGGGGGAGAGCAGACAGAACCAGGACAGGACCAGGACAGGAACAGGACAGCTGGGCAGGAGAGTAAATATGAAAGCTAAGTTTATAGTCGCCGCACAAAGTAAGTGCACAAAAAGGGAGCGGGCGACATTCGCTGCACTCGGATTTTGTGCGGAAATTCATTTCCGTTTTGTTTTGTGTGTGGGAAAGTTTTTCCTTCGAGGGGGCGGGGCTGGCGTTTTTTGGTGGGCGGGAAATTTATGTTTATGATGTGCGTGCCGGAAAGATGCTTTTGGTATGCCAGTCTTCGCTGATTTGCAGCTATTGTGCGGATTTCTCTCGGCCGGAATGTGTTTGTATTTTATTTCATCTGACTGCTTTGCTGACTATTAAATTGTGATTTGATTCGGAATTCGATTTATCCATGTGATGGGGAAAAAGAAATGCTATCAGTTGATGCACTAATGATAAATAGTTTGTGCATATTCCCGTTATATGTGTATAACAACTAACTGATTTATGGAAATCATTAGCACATGTCTATGCTGTAAATCGATAATTTTCCATATCTCTGCCAATTAAACGATGAGCTTCGACAGCACTGCAACATGAATTTCCCGAAATAGAAGTAGAAACGTAGTATGTTAATATGTGTGTGACAGGAAAGGCAATGGGAAGAACTTGAATAATCACTGCCTTTTTCAACTCGAAAATGAAAAGTTTCACATGCAAAACTCTGTAAGCTCCGTATCCTGTTGCCGTTCGTGGGGGGAACTGGAGGTTGGAGGAGGACTTAGGTGGAGCATCCTCAACAATGTGCATTCAACTAATTAGAAACAAATTACGCAGGTTTCATACACAAGCAGCCAGCGGCAGTCGACTGGCAAACTTTCCTAGCTCAATCACAAACTTTGCCTCAGAATCTTGCAAGGATGTGCCAAGGACTTTTCTATATGCACTTGGCATGGCTGGTGTGGGCACCTAGTACCTAGTGCATATACCTATGCGTGGTCGTCTATCTAAGGTGGGTGGGATGGTGTTTGCTTTGTTTGATGCAATGCAAAAGTGCAGGAAAAGTCAGCGCTGAAAGTCGTGGCTGCGGCAACTTTCTGGCTCCCAGCATCATTCATCACTGTCAGCACAAGTTCTGCCCTGCTTTGGAAAGGGGATCAGGATGGGCTGTGGGATGCGAGATGCGGGATGTTGTGGGCAGTGGGCTGGGGATGTCCTGCGGCCTGACAAAACCAAATGCCAGCAATTGCGTTTAAGCTTGACTTGAATATATATGGCGGGAATTTGTCAAGGGTTTGTTTTTTCTCTGCTGCAAAGTTGCGCTAATTACGCGCACTTAGCAAGCTCCCTCCAAGTTCTGGTTTCTAGGTTCGCCAAGTTATTCTTCTTCCAGTTGCTCCAGCTCCAAAGCGCCGCATCAAACTAAGCGCTGCCAATTAAAGGCAACGACTCCGGGCCAAAATGCTCACATTAGCAACTGAATTACTGGCCAGCAGAGATCGCAGATTTCTGCAAGAACTTTTGCAAATTAGGCAAAACGTTTTGCGCCAAATCTACGCGCTGTCAAATTGTTCAAGCGGAAAGCGCTCGCCACGAGTTTCGGTGGGGGGAAAAACAATTTCTGGCGCACATAAAAACCAAACGGAAACAAGGAGACTAGAAAGCACGGAGCGAAGGGCCCAGGTCCTTGCCCAAAAAATGCCCAGGGAGACCGCAAATAAAATAAGCCGGAGGACATGGCGTATACGTAACGTTGAGTTAGCTGTTGAATAATGGCCACCGGACGTTGAAACTTTGCATGGACAAAGGGCTACGCATGGTCTCGTTTCTGGTGCATATATATATATATGTAGTATATGTACCTATGCGTGGGAAATTCGACTTTATCTGAGATCCTTGCGGTTGCGACTTTGTGCCATTTGTTTCGCTTTGAACTGACTTGCCGTGGTCTTCTCCATTTTTTCCCCGCCGTTAATTAAACGCCAGCCCAAAACTCAAGTGGACCCTTTGTGGATTAGCCCTTGCTCTGTGGGCAAGTCCCGAAACCCATTTATATGGCATATCTTTTATGGTCATTGCTAATTGTTGTTGCCCAGCCCCCGTGCGGCTTTTGGACCAAGTGGTTGTGCCCAATGAGCCGCAAAATCTATGCGACATGTGATGGCAATCAAAATGATTGCCTCGGAAAACGACGAGCTCCAAGTTTCAGTTCATTAATGCAGTTTAGCGAAGAATGGCAAAGTTTTGCGGAGCAGTTAGGCGCCTTTTTTTTTTGGCTACGGATAACATGAATATTGAATATTCTGACCAGGCGGTTGGAAGATTGATGGCACGGGCGCCTATCCAATGCTCTTCAATGTGGCGGTACATTAGCTTAGTGGTTTAATTTTTAATTAATTGATTTAGTTAATTCAGTCTACTAATATTACTCGGAAATATGCGTTGCATGTGGCATAAAATATTAGCGATATGGTTTTTCTTTAACTTCATGAACAACCCCTAGTACCCTTTAGCCATTAGGGTATTTTTCCCGCAGTCAATTCTCACACACTGAGGCGCCAAATTAGCGCGGAGCATACCATTTTTTCCGCTTGGCTTGGACGGCATTGGGTAGGAACTGGTGGCTTCGAGGGGATAATGAATGGGTATGGGTGTGGGTTTGGGATGAGGATTGGACAGAAGGGGAGAAAGATGGCGCCTGGCCGACAGCATTTGCCGGCAGCAATAGTAATTAAAACTTGCGTTGCCTGCTTTTAGGCTTTTGCTGGATGAATGGGGGGGATGTGGATGTGGATGTGGATGTGAGCCGGAATCGGGACTCGGATTGGGAATGCAGGGGCGGCGGAGTTGGGAATATTCCATGGGCAGCGCGAAAAACTTTCCAATTAGGCCAAAGTTTTCGACAACCACAACAACAGCGACAGCGCCGAAAGCCAAACTCACTTCGTCAGCACAAATCAACTCGGTGGCTATAAATTCCCAGTGTTTTTTCTCTTTTTTATATATATATTTTTTTTGGCCTCTCACTCGCTGCTGGTTGTGTTGTACGTAAATTAATTAAAATTTATTTCAACTTACCGCCACGCACGTGAACCTCTCGACTGAGCACGGTGCCCACCAAATTGCGCAACTTGCATCTGCCGGTTTAAAGGACAAAGAATTAACAATCAATCTGTGAGGGGTGGAGTTGGAGCCCCGATCCTGTCCAGCTCACCTGTAGACGGTGGCATGCACCTCGTGGCGGTACTTCTCGGCCGTAAAGGGGTAGAACATCATGCTGCCGTTGGACAGCTGGAACACCATGTCCTGCTGCGGCGGGATGGGCGTCCATTCCACCTGGACGAAGTAAACACAGGGGCAGTGAGAAGGGCACTCAAAAAATTGAATTCTCTAAATTGTAAGCGGACAGGATCTGGTCGTAAATGATGTGTAGTTATGGAGACAATTAAACATATTATGGGCATGTGTTTATTTTTCTAATCGGTCAAATGTATAACTAAAAATATCTTGAGAAAGGAATAATTTCGTTGAGTGTTCCTTCGGCAGCGTTTAGCATTTCCTTGCTGGCCAGTCAATTAACTTGGAAATGAGCAGAGGCAGCGCCAAATGCCGCACAGCCATGCATAATTAAACAGCAATATTAAATGGCGGCAAGGAATGAAATAGGAGCCAAGTTGGAAATGGGAAAGGAAACGGAAATGGAGAAGGAGCACGAGCAGGAGAAGGAGAAGGAGCAGTTCTCACCTCCGGCGGGGGACTGCCATGCCCAGAGCATTCTATGAGTCCGCCCGAATTGTTGGAGAACTCGACGCGATGCGGTGGCTCATGGAGAAAAATCGGTCCCTGTAGATCCAGTCCATTTACAAACTGGCTGCTCTCGGCTGCAAATGAGAAGAAGTAGGAATTCCGTTGAAAATTCGTTGAAATTTAAAATTTTAATTAAATGGTTGCTGTTCCCTGCTCGCTGTTCCCTGTTCGCTGTGTGTTGTCCAAAGTTAATTTCAATTTTTGTTAGACCAGCCAACTTTTCCACACCCACCCAGAAAATTAAGTAGCAAGCATGCCAGTGGCTTTCGGCTTTCGGCTTTGGGCTTTGGGCTTTGGGCTTTGGCATTTTCCCGCACAACTCCGCTTGAGTGGGCTGGATGGCTTGGCCTAAATTTTAATGAGGCGTCGTGAGTGCCGTTGGCCCACAACAAAGGATGCTGCGGAGACAATTGCTTTTTACCTGCCGGCCATTGTTGCGGTCGCCGGCCACAAAAGACGGGCTCTAATTGCTTCACCAGGCGCTGAGCATTGCATAATTTTCGGCATGCTTTAAAATGTGGCTGTGATGCGGCTTTTATGTCTTATTTATTATTCATTCAGGGACTCTGGGACAGGACCTGTGCGGCAGGACACGCTGAGGCGTTGTCTCCTGTCCGGAAAATAACCAGAAATTCATGTGCACCAACTGAGCTGGCTATGACACATGAATAATTTAGCGCAGCAGCACCATCGCCATGTCCTTTACACTCGGACATCGTCTTGAGCGAAAATTGTTCAGTTTAAATAGCTTTTACTGTATGCCTGGGCTGTACACATTTATCTAAATTGTAGTCATTTCGGCCGTCATAAGGGAAAGCTAATGCCAAAATCTTGGGGGATGAGGTGTCCAAAAGCAGAAATCACACCCTTTACGCTTTGACTTTTATCAAACAAAAGTTGTGTGCTCAAAGGGCAATGTGTTGAAGAATACATCTAAAGTAATTGTTTAAAATTAATGAAATACCCTTCTCAATTTTCGAGTCATTTTTAAAATTACAAAATTATTTTAAAACCATTCAGAATATTATATGTCCTAAATAGAATGTTTGCATTAATATTATTACCATCTATATTATTAATCTGTTTCAGGAATCCTAGCTAACATGTAATAAATTTAAAAAAGTGTGGATCCTGAAGCAAAGGACATTATTTACTGCAATGATAATGGCTGGTTACTTTTCCCCAAGTGCAGTGGTATTGTTGCGAATGTTGGTTTTCCCGGAGATCTTTCTATCACTTTCTGTCACTTCAAGAATCCCTTTTTGGCAGTTGGCCCCGAGAGGAGTCCCAGTCGTCTGGCCAGGCCACAGGACTTGGCAAGGAGCGCAGCTCCTTGTGGCACTTGCAACAGCAGCAGCAGCAGCCGCAAAGTATGCAACACTAAATTTGTAAGCAATTTTCAGCCCCAGCAACGCCGCACTAGAGCAATAATATGAAAAATTGTTTTGTCAAAAAGGCATTAGGCGGCAGATAACGACGGCCGAGCTCCTTGGGCCCGGTTGCATGCCCCAAAGTGTTGCAAAGTTTGTGCCACTTTCGTTGCGGTAGCCCACCGCTTGCCACGCCCCTGCCTTTGCAGGAGCCCCTCCCTCATGCCCCTTCCAGTCGTCTCCTGGTTTTCCTTCGCCTGGCAACACGCTGTCAACTGCAATGCCCAAAGGAAATGCGCCGCAAAGGATGCAGGAGAAATGGGGGAAAAAATGGAAAAGCCTGGCTGGAATAAGAAAAGCAAAATGTTTGCGGAAAGTAAAAAGTGTTTGCCGCAAGTTGCAGCGGTTGCCACATGACGACGGGGGAGCACATTAAATTTGCAGTTTTAGTTTTTAAGTCACTTAAGATAAAGTTTCGCCCCCCACAAACTTTACTCCGCCAGACACGGTCTAATGAAAATTTAATTATCCATCCGAAGAGTGGTGCCTTTTTGCTTTTTTTTGTTTTTGAGCATTCTTCTATCCGTGGTAATTGTGAAGCGTGTGTGTGTGTTTGTGGGTGTGGTAAATTTGCAGGTAGGATTTCAATTAAAACTTTGTCTAAGGCCCGGGACAAGTTGAAGCTAATTAGAGCACTTCGCCACTCGCAAAACTGTCAGCAAAGTGTCCCACATTTCAATGCGAAGGTTCCTGCTGGACAATGGCCGCCATCCATGGCATCCATTTGCGATGGCCCACAGTCGCTGGCACTCGATTCGATTTGTCAGCCGCGTCAATCAAGGAAGCTGCTGGGAAAGTGGGGCTTATTAATGTAAGTGCCGAGCACATTTCCCGGACTAAAATCAATTACGGGCCAAGAAACGCGCAAGCTGGAGAATGGAAACTAAATGAAACTAGCACTGCCAGCGGCAGCCTGCATCATTATCACGGATCATTAAAAATTGCCGTGAAGCTGAGCTGGAAGGAGGAAATGAATGGGTGCTCCGCGAAGGAGATGGAAAATGGGAAAAGAAAAGCTGGCAACAGAGGAGCAGAAACCAGGAGTGGAGGACCACTGACAGCCGAGCTGACAAAATGCAAATGAGCAGCGGGAGAAAAAGATTCAGCTCACACTCGACGGCGACTACTCAACGCAAAGCTGCACTGCAAGAAAATGTTTAAAGAAATTTGTTTCAAACTTGCTTAGAAGTATACAAAAATACATATAAAACTCCCTTTTCACAGCTCAGCTGCAGGCACATTTAAAACTGATTTAATTTAATTAAAAAAAATCTTTATAATTATAATTTGCAGGACTTTCGGTGTAAAAGTGTAGTCGTGCTTAATTACGAAGAATATCCAAGGGATTTGGAAAACAGAAAAGCAAACCAAGGAATGGAGATTTAAATTCACATTACGTTTACTTCGCCAGAACAAAGCGAGCGGAAAAATCTTTCGAAAAGTGTCTGCAAACAATAATGAAGTTGCCAGTTGCCAGTTGCCAGTTTCCAGTTGCCGGTTGCTTCAAAGCGCTCACTAAATCAGAAAAACTTTTCCCGCACGCCATTTAAATGAAATCGCAATTTCGCGACAGCAAAGAAGAAAATCGCCGAGCAACAAGAGCAGTAACATTAAAGCTGATTTGCATATGCCGTGAGACTTGTCCTCGCTGCCCCTATATCTATCCTATATATATCTTATCTTGTGATTTTGCAGGGGTGCTGTTTGTTTTGGGAAGCGGAAAATGGCTTGGAAAATATAAATGTTAAAGTGTATACCGTCGTGCGCTTATCGACACTTTCACAAGATTTTCCGAAATATTTTCTGGATTTCCAAGGGAATATTAACATTTTCCATCCATTATAACAAAGTTTTCAAAAGTTTTTCTGATTAATTGACCATTTAATGAATCAAATTTTATTTTTAAGATTTAAAATGGTTTAATATGTGTGATGTTACAAGATTTTTTCGAAATACGTTCAAGCTTTCCAATGCAATAGATTAAATATTGATATTTACCATCCTTTACAACAAAGCTTTACGAAATTTTGTCTGACTATTTATGTTTGAAATTGGGTAATATGTATGTTGTATACATTGAATCCTGAGCAGATTGTATTCAGCAGGCGTAGAGTAGGCAGCGTTTAATATTTAAAGTAGCACACGGATCAGGGAAACAGGGCGGATGAGTGATGGAGCGCGTTTGCTTTTGGGGACTCTGGGTGCTCCGCGATTCCTGGTATTCCGGCTGCTCCGGCTGCTCCGAGTGTTCCATGCTTTCAGGAGGTGGCCCTCAAGTGCACGCATTTTTCTGCTTAAAAGCCCCGACTAATGCGATGTCGAAGCGAAATCTTCATCTGTCTGGGTGCGCAACAAAGCGGAATACTCCACGGATGTGGATGTGGATGTGGTTGTGGATGTGGATGTGTGTGCACCAGGATCCGGGCTAAGTGTAAAGTGTATTTGCTTAGGTCAGGGCACGTAGGTCGCAGAGCAGCCAGGGAGGGCCTTCTGCGCCAACTTGACTTGCTTTGACTAAACAAGCTGAAAAACAGGAAAATTGCACAAATTGAAAGCTCGAATGTTTTAAAACCGAATTGTATTTGGCCAGGCAATCTCATTATTCAATCCTGCATTTACCCAGCATTTTGCAGCTGCATTTTTGTGCGAAAATAATTAAGCTGCGTTGCCAGAGTCTGAGTGGTGGGCTTGAGTATGTTTTATGCTGTCCTTTTGTGCCCGCAACACTTCCTTGACGAGTGTTTTCCCTCGAAAAGCCAAGTTATCAGCAAAAGATCAACGACTCGGTGCCCCCCACCAGTCCATATCTACAACCATGTCCTCGTCATCCTCGTCGACCTTTTCCCGGTGCTTTGTATTCCATCCATGGGCTAAGCTGCGGGCTGATGTTGCTGCTGCTGGTTGAATCCGATGATTCTGCTGCTGACTGTGACAGTAAAGGCCTTTCTCTACTTGCTGCGTGTTGTTGCTGCTTGTTGCTGCTGCTGCTGCTGCTGCTGCTGCTTTTTCTGCCGCTCCTTCTGATGATGAAGCTGATTATGCTCTGCATGCTTTGGACTTAAGCCCGGTCTGCTCCTTGGACAATGTTGCCTGGTCCACACAAAAGGAACTCGCCTGCCTTTGGCTTTGGTTCTTTGGTTCTTTGGGGCTTGTTTTTGTTTCATAAAATAGCAGTCAGCAGTCAGGAGCCAGAAGCAGCATAATCTTGGCCCTCCTGCTGTGCTGCGCTGTGCTGCGATGTGACGAACTGCCAGAAGGAGGAGCAGCACCACCCTCCATAGACCAACCCACTGCTTTCATGCGCTTAGCAAACGTGACATTCGAGGTCATTCACATTTCGAGGGCGTGTTGTTGAACTTGGTGTGAGGAGGAGCGGGTGGACTGCAGCAGGAGCCATGCAGAAGCCGCAGCTCCCAGGGGCGGACTTTGCGGGATGTAAGCCATCTCTTGGAAAGGGCTATCTTAGCCAAAAGCCAGGGGATTCTGGCTGGCTTTCTTGCTTTTCCGAGCTAAGCTTAGCCCACCTGCCGGGAATCATTCCGCACCTGACTTCTCAAGGCTGCAGGTAGCGAAATAAAATACTTCTGAGGTGTTGAAACTTATGCATATGCAAGACTGAGTTATATGAATAACTTTTGTAGTATTTTACATATGTGTACTTCTATATAATATTCGTACGACAAACTTCAAGATATTACAAAATTTGTACTGTGCTTAGCAAAAAATGCTAAGCTTACGAAACTTGCTATGAAAAATCGAGATTCGAAAATGTCGAAAAATTATAGAGTTAAGAGTGGGGATTTTAAGAGATCAAACTGCATTAAAATCATAAACAAAGGTTTCTTAAATCATTTTTATACTGTAAAGATATAGAGTTTTTCTGAATTTTTTCCCTAAGTGCTCAGCTGGTGTAAAACATTGCAGCATGCACCTTGGTGTTGCAGACGGATTCGGTTGCTAAACGCCGTGACACACAAGACAATGAGGATCTCTAATTATGGCTCGAAAACTGCAATTAACATTTGATCCAGCCTGTTTCGTATGGGTGAGTGGGTTCAGGGGGTCTCCTTCTTTTGTGCACATGGCTTGAAGTGTCGAGCCACGCCAGTGGCAAAAAGTTTCATAAATGGCGCTCCTGCTCCTGCGGCTGCGACTCCAGGTCGTGTGACTCCTGCGATGTCCTGGCCTGCAAAGTTTTGCTGTTGACTCCGTTTCTTTGAGCGCCACGCAAACGCAGCACAAACAAAAACAAAAGTGAAACGTGTGCCTTTCAATATTTCAGTTTTATGGCACAAACTCCGCAACTTCGCAACCAGCCTTTTGTCCACCCGCGAAAGTTGAGGCGGCAGTCGCTCATTAACGGCGATATATGTGCATATATGCACCTATATGGCGTTGCGTTAATTGAAATGCTTTTCGCTTTTCAATTCCACGGCCCCACGCCAAACCCCTCGAGTCCTTGTTCCCTGCGCTTATGTTGCAAATTTAATTGCATACTTTTGCGGGCAAGGCAATGGCGAATGTAATGAGGATAAAAATGCTGGTACAACATCGATACAATTAACAGTTTCAAGGAGTGGGTTTTAAGAAGCCAGTTAATGGTGTTTTTTAATCAAAAAGGTTGAGTTAAATGCTGTCGCTAACTAACTTTGTATACAGTTTTGTTTTCTATTCCATTAACGGCATTTATAGCGAATTTAATTAAGTGGATACAAATACTAGCAAATTTCTTATATGCTTTTAAAGCATTTCACTAATTTCACTTGCTTCCCAGCGAATCGATTAGGTGCCTGTGTTTTATGGAAGCGAAAAAAGAGAAGTACTCACCTCTGATGACATATAGGATCAGGATGGCCTTAAAAAGGCTGTGTAAATCCATTTTTTATGAGCACTAATGCTTTCCATTACATTTTTTATGTCTGGATTTTAAATGCCGAATTTCGCTTGATTTATTTGTTATTGCTGTCGCTTTGGATCGCGTTCGCTCTGTTTGTTTCGGTTATTTAATTTCTTTCTCACATCCACAAATGCGTTGCTCTGATTGAAGCCGACTGAAAATGTTAATGGTTTTCTGGCACAACTTTGTTGCTGCTGATGCTTTTGTTATTGTTGTTCTTGTTCTTGTTGTTTATTTGCTTTTCGAATTACGCGCCACGGAGTTTAGAGCCAGAGATTTATGCGACCAGTGATTTCAGCGCTTATGCATCGCCTAAAAGACCAAAATATTACGACATTAAATATAGGCACTGCAAACAGCATAGGTTTGGAGTTTTTCCATTCTCTATTACTCGGAGGTAATTTATGGATGTAGGGGAACCATACGAATGGCTTTAAGCTGCCTTGAAGTGGTTACTATGGAATGCCTTTGCTTTTGATTTCACTTGACGACAGTCAGTCAGATATTAATCATGTCAAGTCAGCTCCACAAAGCACCCATCCAACCCAACTGAACCACTGGGGAGTCCTCGAGCTCCGAAAAGCGCAACAACAGAGTGGGGAACACTCCGAAAAAAATTGATAAATTAAATAAACTTAGTCTTAATTCAGAACATAAATCTCCAAATGGATAACTCTATTAATACTTGAAATGAACTTTACACAATGTTTGTTCATATATTTACATTTTTTAGGATTTGGTGTAGATAGTCCCTTGGTGTAGATTGTGCTCCCTGAATCTGGGCACTCGGAAAATGGGTGCTGTTGCTCTGACTCCCCATAGTTTTCCCCTTTTTCCGGGTTTCGGCTTTTGCGCCCCTTTGAGCGCATTTTTATGCGAGAAGATGAAGGCGAAAAAATTATGCATCAGCGCGAAATTGGAGCGCCATAAGTTGCCACTGAAGTGCTGACATCCTCATCTGAAGTTGAGGCTGCAGCCGAGTATCTGGCTGTGCGGATGCGACGACGAGTATCTCGTGGATGCAAAATATGACAAAAATATGCTAAGACACGCGTGTGTGTGGGAGTCCCTTCGGTACATCCTGCCTCCGACAAAATCCCCCTACATTGTATTGCCTGGCTGCCATTACATTAACTTTGCCTGTGGCCAGCCATGACAGGATCCGTCCCAAAAGCCAGACGACTCCCCAAGGTAAGCTTCTGGACATTGTAGAAAAAAAGAACTCGAAAAAACGAGGGGAGCAAAAATGCGCCAGGAAGCGAACGATATTTGCCGAAACTTGAAACTATGCAAAAGGGACAGGAACAGGACAACTTGATACGATGGAGATAAAAAAGAAAACGTATAAAACTGTCAATAACGATAAAGCACAGAGGCGTACAGGGAGGGGGGTGGGGGTTTTCCCGGGTGCGAAGGGTGTTGGATTGGGAGTACATGGTTGTATATGGATGGCTTTACGAGCAGTAACAACAAAATGCCGCTTAAGCAACATGGAAATTATGCCCAGTGCGAATATCATCAGCAAACTGCTGGAACAACAGACAATGGCTGTCGGACAGCCAGCAAATGGGCGGGAAATGAATGGGAAAGTCACGGGGGGAAAGTGCTGCTGGTGGAAATGCTTCGTTTATTTCCTTCGTTACTTGTTGTATTTGTCTTCTCTGGTCCTTCTTGGTGTGTAAAAAATCATGACTTGGCAATTATGCGGCAAATGTGCGCACTGGGCTATCCAACTGCCACCACGGGCAAACAGAGCAGACTCTCTTTGCACACACGGCGGATGGCAGGAGGCGAACAGGCATAAATATTACGCATACGCCGCATTGCACTGCCAGCGTTTGCAAACTGCTAAATTGCTGGCAATTAGTTTAAAGTGCGACAGCAAAAAATCAAAATTGCTGGCCTAAGCAGCTTTCACCGCTAAGCAACGCTCTGCATATCCGTGTTTGCCTGAAAGCAGCCCGAGATCTCATTTAAAAAGTACGGAAAAGGGAATTATACTAAGAAATTCTCAGAAAATTATGGTCCAAATTTGTAGGCACCTATTCAAAAAATGCGAACTATCGCTACTTTAATACTTGTATCATTAGTTTTATACAGAAAATACAACGAATATTAGCATATTCAAGTAACAGATTTATTACTTCATTTCATTAGGTATATTATTTAATATCAGAAACCCATTAATGGCACACGGTGCACCGCCTGTCAATAAAATTCAACCATCATGGAAATGATTGCTAACATCTACCGACGGCGATATCACGTATACGCCACGTTGCCGTGCAGGCAAAACATTGGTAGTTCTCTGTGCTGAGTTCGAATCAAATTGCCTCTAAAGAATTCCCTAAAGGACTAGACATTAAACCAAACATTTAAATGGACTTCGATGGCTGAGCAAACTTTGTCTGCCACCCAATCAGAAGGGGCACGATTGCATCAAAGTGGGAATACTCTTGTGCGCCGCCTTTGTGAGCGGCTTCTTCTCCAATTTCAAAGCCTTCCCTTTGATCTACTGTTTCCTAGGCGTCTTTGCCAACGGCTTAAACACTTGAAGTCAGCTTCGATTTATTTATATTACACTTAACGTTGTCTCCTCGATCTTGGGCTCTCTGTCTGTGACAATTTGTGCCGGGAAAATGCATAGAAGGCTGCCCATCCAGCTCCTTATGTGTTTGGGTGGCAATGAGGAAGGATGAGGATGGGGATGAGGTTGAGGATGGGGAGGTCAGGACAAGTGCAATTTATAGACTTCAACGCTTGGCCGGCTACGAAGTTTTCTCGTCTGGACTGGTGCCGTATGGCAGCCATCGTCTGCCAAATACGTGATTTATTTTAATAGATAATCATTATGCCATCGATTTCTATCATGTCTGGACTCTGTTTCGCTTGTTGCATGCCCCCATTCGTCCCTTCTTCCTATTCCCTCGTATGCTACGTGCGTCAATAAATCAAAATCAAATGGCTTTCAGCTTATTGTTTTGCGTGGGTAAATAGAAAACATGTGCGACCTGCTGAAGCCACGTGTAAAGTGCGAAGGGAATGAAGCTCGGGGTTTTACTTTTACCTTTAAGTGGGTTGCAGGTTGGTCAAACAAAAAAGTGGCTTGTTATTTGGAAATGTTCCCTAAGATATGCCAATGTAAACACTCCTCTGTTTTTTATATATTTTATAATACAGTATTTCTAGCCTTTGGACCTTTAAAACATAAAATAAATAAATACGGAGAAGATTCTTTGGCCAATTTGGCTAATAATTCTGCCAATTTGTTCCTAACTGTCCTCCAAATCGCTTAAGAATTTCGTTGCCTACTTTTCTGGGCACTTTAATATGTGGCATAATCCCTTAAGGCATATCTGTTAAATTCCCTGTTAACATTATTTTTTCTAGACCAGCACTCACTTTAACCCCTATTTGCATTCGGCACATGAAAAGCCAACAGTTTAAGCGCTGAGGCTGCCACAGCCGGTCATAGTTCACGGTTCATTCACATGGCACATCCGCTCCTGCCCTCTCCTGAGCCGTATTTAAATTGTGCCATTATGCACTCGAGTTCCATCCGCCCCCCTTGGACCCCTTTGGACCCCTTTGGACCCCCTTTTGGAACCTTTCGCTAATGACTTTTTACGGCGTCTCTGGCGGCTGCTGCTGCCGGCGAAGGCACAAAAAATCAATAGAATGCAAAGGGCCTCTGCATGGGAATCTCAGCTGGCGAAACAAAGGTTCACAGGCTACAGGATTGTGGATAGAGGGCTATGGGCAATGGGCAATGGGATTGAAAATGCAGAGGCTCGGGGACACTGGACATCTAGCTGGAATTGTAATGGCCAGCCGGCTGTCGTTTGTTGCATTGTAATTGTAACACTGGCCGACCGGCTGGCCGCGAACAAACAAACCAACTAACAAGTAGAGAAACAGCACAAAACAAGAGGAGTGGAAATAGAAGCGAAATGAAACTAACAAAAAAATAGGCGGAAAATCAATAAAGCAAAGGCATGAAGCAACAAACAAACAAACAAGCAAGCCCAGCGAAAAACCAGCGAAACGAAGAGAAAGAGAGCCTGAAATGCATAACAAACTGTGAAATGAAAAGCCAGCAACAAAATTGTGCAAGAAATTATATGCATATACATAAATATACATGTATATATACAACATAGAAGGCAGAGGAGGCGCAAAGGGGGGCCTCTTGCACTGAAGTGCACATAAAAATCATTTAAAAACAGCAGCCATGCAGACGGACAGAAGGAGGAGGGAAGAAAAAGGCTCTTTCCCATCCCCCACCCCCCTGCACAGATTTCCCTGGCATTTCCCAGGCTTTCCCAGCCGGGCCCAAGGTAAGTCGTGATTCGAGGGGCGGGCGGTCGGAAAATTGAGTTCAGCAAAGAGGGGGGATGTGCACAAAATGGGTCTAAAGTCATAAACTTTTTCCACATAGCAGCTGATGCCAACACGTTTCGGTTACAGGCAACTGTGGGCTTTTTGTTATTGCGCCATAGTTGCTCAGTGATTTTTCCTGGGCCCGTTACTACGGCCTTTTGTTTCCTCCTGGCTAACGAGCCGAATATTGGGTTAAGTAAAATATGTACCGAATGGAAAACAAGGAAAAATTCAGCCCGAGCACCTGAGTGGGAAGTATTTTGGAGCGAACCGAAATAATGATGCGGCCAGGGAAATGTAAATTTATCAAGCTATGCAGATATTTTACTTGCTCCACTTGGGGAAGCCAGAAATAGCAGTAGTGTAGGTCTTCGAACGTTTTTAATTATTTTTATCATTGCTGCCAAGGACTTCGCCTTCGCGCAGCCAATCAAATCAACTTCGACCTCCCCGAGTTTGCGTGTCTCAGCGGAACTTTGGATAGGACCTATTCACCCCGAAGAGCTGAACATCAATCATGAGCAGTCAGTCGACCCGCAGTAATAATTTTGAAATGCCAGTTCCCCGCCGCTTAAAATGTCACACGCCAATCAAAAGCATGTTTGCCTGCATAAATAAACATCCAGCGGGGCGACCGATATCGCTTGAGTATGAATTATATGTGAGGCCAAACAAAATATCATTTCCCAACTTTTGGCAACTTTGGCACTCGGAGTATTCCACTTTTCCCTCGACAATCTCGTCTCAATTTCTGATGCATATGTGCGGGAAAAGGCGGGGGAAAGTGATTTCTTAATTTGTTACAGAAAAACTTTAACCTCCCCGCCTGGCACAAGAAAAATCCCCTTTAGTCAAGACGCTACCCCATATTTCTCTGGGTTAAAGTTGAAAGCAGGAAGGAAAGTTTCTTGAGTTGGGCCCTCGGAAAAAAATCGTACGTGACTTTTGTGGAAAATGATGGATCAGTAAGTGGGTGGGTGTAAAAGTGAAACTTGTGCCGCCTTCTAATTAATGTCAATAGCGGTGGCAGGAAGTTATTTGCCCCATGGGTTCATATCTTGCTGCTTTAGCTGGAAGATTGCGCATACGCTGCGTGGTGTCGATTCAAAAATTGCGTATACGCACTGTGGGCAGCTGTTGCAGTTTGCTGGCCACCCGCAAATACATAAAGCCCAAGCGAGAGAGCAAGAGAATGAGAAGGAGAAAGAGAGAGAGCGGCCACGATGACCGAAAATTTAAATAAACCAAAACTCGATGCCGGCTACTACTATTACTACAACTACTACGCCCGGGTAAGTGTGTGTGTGTGCGAGTGCATTGTGGTCACTTCCGCTGTGAAACGCATGAAATACGAGCCATTTTTACTACTACACATCACAGAGGCTGCAACATGCGACATGTGTGTATGCGGCAATCGATAAATTTTGTGTGTGCAGCGCAGGAAGAACAACAACAAAGGCACAGCCACTGCACTATAAGCCAGATATGCCAGATACGAGGTATATATACATATATACATTCACATATATAGGCATGTGTATGCACACAGCGAGTGAGTATCCGCATGAGTATATGCCGGCACAGACAGATTTATAGTTTGTCATGGCGGCAGCGTCCAAAATAGTTGCAGCTTCTCTCCCGCTCACGAGGCATGCAGCACTTTTCGTTCATAAAATCAATAGGCCGCCCAACCACCACCCTCCCCCGGTTTCTCTCACTGCATTAGCCGGCCGGTCTTGCCTTCATATAGGTAATAGCTCCATATGTGCGGAGCAGCTCTATATGTGGAGTACATGGAGTGCACGCAGCACTGCTAATTGCTCGCATGCGAAACGTAACGTAACGTAACGAAATGAGAGCAAGGAGCCAGCTTCCAGATGCCCTGGCACAAAAGAAATATAAATAAATGCCATTTGCCCTCCACACAATACGGGGAAAATGTCAAACAATTAAGCGGCAATTAGCAGAAAGCTCGAGAGTGCCAGCAGCAGCCAACCAGAAGACCAGAGGACCGGAGGACCAGAGGACCGGAGGACCGGAAAATGGGGCGACTGCTACGTGAAAGCGTTGCTAAACGTGTCTTCGGCTCGTCGAAAGGGGGTTGCATGGAAGGGAGCAGGCGAAAGGACCAAGGGAGCGGGCAAGGAGCAAGGAGCAAAGGAAGCTGGGCACTCAAGGCAGTCGAGGCAGTCGAGGCAGTCAGGACGGGAAGCAGCATTGCATTATGCCTTATTGATAAGCCCCCAGGTGGAGGAGCTGGCAAACGGACTAAGGCCATGTGGAACACTACTTGAGAAAGTCTTACAGGTACTGTATTTAAACAAATCTTTCCAGTTCTTTTGTTTCCTTGGATACGCAAATAAACACCACATTAATATCGCAAAAATAAGGTAGGATAGCTATACCAATAGATTTCCCAGAGAAGTAAGTGAACCTATACCCATAAATCTCATAGCAATTCTAAATCTTATTAGTTACAAATAGAAATACCCAGTGACATATATTCAAACTGTTCAAATCAAATTATTTGTTCTCACTCATAACTGACAGTTTTCCACTCGCTTATTTAATCACACCTCTTATCGCTACGTAATCACCACAATCACTCCTGCTGCTCCAAAGTCGCCCAAATAAACCCATTCAATTTGTTGATAAAACACACTTATCTGCCCGTCAAGCCATCAGCAGCTAAGCAAATTTGCATGCAATTTTCCCCCATGGGGGAAGCAGCACTTTTCCACTGGATACGTGGGGCAGTCTCGGGGAAAACTCGAAAATAAAAAGATGGCAACGCGGCTGTTGCAGTTGCTGTTTCCCTTCGGTTTTAGCACGTTGTTGCAATTCAATTTATTTTCAATTTGCGCGCATGCAAGGCGAAAAGTCGGAGGTGGGCTAAACACCTTTAACACCCTTTTCGATTAGACACACAACATTATCAAGCGCGATTTGGCGGATTTTTCGTTGTCTCAGCGGCCGGCTCACGTTGCACTCACAGACACCAATACACATTTGCCCGGCACTGTATCTATGTGTGTGTATATGTACTTGTGTATGTATATATGGGGGAGGGGGGCATTTAGTATATGTGGCACGCACGTTTGCCGCTTCTCTTGTTGCTGTTGCAACGCAAATTGCGAGTTGCGAGTTGCGAACTGCGAGTTGCACTTGCGACACTGACAACTGACGACAACAACTGCGACGGCGCGCTCTTCGGTAGAGTTTCTTCTATTTTTGTTGTTTTTCTTGGTGTTTTGTTGTTGTTGTAGTTTTCTCTGATAACAGCAAGGCTGTCTCCCTCGCACAGTGCCCCATCTCGCCTGCTCCAGCACTTACTCGATTTGCCAGTAGCAGAAAGGAGCAGACAACAACCGCACGCGAGCAACGTCGAACAGCAACTGAGTCCTGATTGCGCTGTCCCGCAGGATTTTTGTGCAGATGCAGGTTGCCATGGTGGCCACATCGCCATGTGCACCACCAGCGCCCCCTCGACCTTCCACCATCCACCACCCACTGGACTCGCCACCCCACCTGGCTGTGGATGCTGGAGCTGATGCGCAGAATCCGCATCCGAAGCGGCATCAACAGGAGCGTAGTAAACGCGTAGTAAATTGGATCCTATTCGGGTTTCATTCACAGAGATTCTCTCGCCACGCTCACATCGCAAGAGTTGTGATCGCCAAGATGGTTATTGCTTAAATATTATGCATGTATTTTTATGGTTTCTAATAGTCAAATAGTCCAAATAGTCAAAGAAAATGTTTTTATACAAACGCATATTAATATAAACTAACTAGTAAGAAGCTAAGCGTTACTTGGCGCACTTCAATCAAGCCGAAAAATATGAATAATAGTTAAATTATTAACTTTATTTATTCAGATATTTTATGATTATCGATTACCAACACTTAAATATATGTAGCTTTATCGACAACCAGAGTTCCCTACTCATCTATTGAGTTTCCTGTCATTTGGAAATTAGAGTTACCGAAAAGGTCCCTTTATTATATAGAATTAATTAATTTCTTCCTTGAGGAATTTGCACTTGACGAAGTGAAAACTTTTGCAGCATGCAGCAGTACAACTTTATGAAAGTCATGGAGAACATGACCCTGGAGTTTACGGTGGACAAGGAAGACCACAAGCGTTTCATCCACGATTCACGCATGCTATCCCTGGCCATTCAGCAGCAATTGCTCCAGGATGGTGCGGTGTTCCAGAACCAACTGGGACAGCTCCACAAAACGGGTGAGTTGGGTGAAGCGATCTCTTCCAGCACATTGCTCACGTGCCCCCAATGAGCAGCCTCCTATGTGGACAACCTGTACCTGGACATGCCGCTGAACTTTGAGATCTTCCTGCCCATTCGACTGCCAGTGGCAGTGGTGCCCACCTACGATGAAAAGAACCGCAGTGTGCAGTTGACCAGAACCAACTGCCAGCACCCGTTCTTCTTCGGGAATGCGGTAAATGTTAAGTGTTTGAACCTTCTGCTCCAGCGGGAACTGCATCGGGCCATTTCCAAGCTGAAGAGCGCGTCATCTCCGTGCACGGGACGGGTCTACGACATGAAGTATTCGGTGCTGAGCCTCAACCACGTGCCCTTCGTCCACCAAGTGGTGGCCCTGGAGCGGGGCAGCAATGGGCAGCGTTTCATCCGCTTCGACTTCGTTCTGGCCGTGGAGTTCCATGGCGCGGATATGATATTGCCACCGTACTTCCAGGCATCGCTCAGTAACCGATGGCTTGCCTACGGCAGGATGACCGTCGACGAGGATCCCAACCCGGCGGAGTGGGCTGTGCTGGTGCCCAAGTGGCAGGACTCCTCGCCCGGCGCCTCGCTCATTGCCCTGAACTGCATGGTCATGTTGTATCGCCTGATGAGCGCCCAGCAGTGCTACTGCTTCGCCCTGCCCGCCTCCATCAAGTTCGCCTTCGTCATGGCCACCGAGGAGCGCGGCCTGGACTTCCATCGGATGAGCGTCGCTGATTTGACTATCACTGTGAGTGGACGTGTATACACTCGTATGAAATAGCTGGGTAATAGCCAACTGGTTTATATTTATACCATAAAGTTTATATTTTAGCACTGGGAACAGGGGATTAGTGGGGCTTAGATTCGTTTTTAGATCGCCCTAACTTCTTCGTTCCCCTCCATGTAGACCATGTTCCATCAGGTATTTGGCAATCTGTACAAGGCGGTGGCCGGGAACGCTAACGGCGACGAGGCCACCAGGAGCAGTCGCTTGATGGCCATCCGGAAGCAGTTGCTGCGTGCCCGTGGCGTCTACGCGATGCTGGCGGATGCAGTGCTGCGGAATTCCATACGCAGTGATTTTGTGAACGCCTACTTTTGGTACATCGACATATCACCGCCGCCGGAATGCTTCTATCAGTCCCTGGTCGAAGTCCGCACCACCCGTATGAAGAGGAAGCGGAGGACCCCCTAAGCCTGCAAAGTTAAATTGACCAGAACGCCGGGCGGGTTTGCTGGCTACATATAGTACTTTCAAATGGGTGGATAACAACACCAAGGAGTGGCTTCCCTTGTTGATTTTTTGAAACTTGAGCACTACTGTAAATTGGTCGAGCAGTTTGTGGGAATCCCCCAATCCTCCAATCCCCCAGAGCACCGCCATCGTCTTAGTGTCAAATCTCGGTAATTGTGCAACTTTAATGCCAAAAAACAAGTGGAAATGCCAGAGCAGTGCTCACACAGATACAAAACACGCACACACACAAAGCACAGCACACAGACAGAGACAAAAGTTAATAAAAGCCAACTAAAAACTAAAGCCGAGTTGGGCTACGTGTCCCTGTTTTGACTTGGCCCCAGAAACCCCCCAAATTCCCCCTCATGTTTATGAGGGGGAAAAAGTTAAATTGCAAATAGCTTGGGCAGGGCTTAGCCCGGGGGCGTGGCAGACAGGGGGCGGTAGGCGGTGGGTGGTTAGGGGGCGACATGAAATTTTAGAAAAATTTGCTGTTATTGTTCGGGCAAAACAAAAGGGGTAAAAGGATTTCGCAGAGCTGGCGCAAAAGGATGGGCTCGGAAAATAGGTGGGTCTACACGGGCTGGAGTCGCATTAAACAGAAAGACACAAAAAAGTTTACCCGACTCACTTCTCGGGGATGGAGCGTAAAGTTTTCCAGCGCTTTTGACATTTCATTGTTGTCAACTTTTAACTAGTTTTTTATGTAGTCATTATTTTAAAATGCAAATCGCCAACAACTGCCAGCAAAATACACACTGAAATGTTTCGATTTAATCTGCCCCAAAACCAAATGGCTTAAATTTTATTTGGCTAGCTGCGAATGTGTCGCATGGCCAATACAAAGTGGCCAACAGATTTGCCGCATCCATCGATGAGTTAATCTAGTTAATTTGCCGCCTGTGTTTCACAGCCATGGGCAACTGAAAAGTGTTTATTGCATTTTCCACTTTTCGTTATTTTAATTGCATTCCCAGATCTACATATGCTTGTACCTCACCCTTGTTTTTGCACTCGAAGTTCTGGCGTATTCCATGCCAATAAATAAAACGAAATGGAAAACGAAATTGCAGCTGGATGGGAGAATTATTTGCTAGAGAAAATAGGAAAACTCGCATGAAAAACCAAGAGGATGTCGTGGAAATATATTGAAAGTAGAAGCTCCCCCAGCATCAATCACTTCATTTTGTTAGAAAAATATTTTTCAAACTTAAATTTAATTGAAATTTAAATTCAAGAGCTTTCGCCAACATTTACCCCTCTTTGTTCGGCGCCATAATTTTCCCCCACAAAAGAAAAGCAACGAGCTTCAAGTTGGCGATGTCTTTTTTTGGGGGGACTGAGGGAACATCTTTAATCAAAAACTAATTATGAGCGACAGGGAAGTCTAGTGTCTCTGTGTTTGGGTGTACGGTGGGTATCTGGTAAATTACATTTGAATTATGACAAGAATGGAAACGGGAACCCCTGCGCCAAAAGTGATGGGCAGCAAATGAGCTAAGCGATGGCCAAGTGAAATTCGAGTGCGACGTTGGGCGAAATTGGGGGAGATTGACCATTACAAGCAGAACGGCCGCAATTTACGCAACAAACAGCGAGCTGAAAATTGGAAAGACGCGACGAGCAGGACGACCGCAGGACCTCCAGCTGGAGCAGGAGGAGCTCCCGAGAGCTCCGCGAGCTGGAAGCTAAGCGGCAACTGGAGACCGACAAAAGTTGATGTGAAAAACAGACAATTAATTTGCTTTGCAGCGCAAAGGGGACACCAGAGCACCAGAAAACCAGGACAACAGGACTCGGGCGTCCAGGACACAGGACACAGGACACCAGCGGAGGGCCAAACAATTTCGAGCTTGTTGGCAAAGAAAATTTACGTGCCAAAGACAATTGGTAGATGCAGCCCAGGCAGCAGAAGTCGAATCCGGACCAACATCACGGCACGGTGCAAATGGTCAAACATTTTACGCTTTTCGTTTAATTAAAATTGCAACAGGCTACGTAGCTCGCATTGCAGCAACAGGAGGATGGCAAAGAAAATCCAAAAATAAAAACACTGAAGCACATGCTAAAAATAATTACTCAAGAAATGGTTGTATTATTAATAATAGCAATTTAGTTACTATATTTTGGGAAGTTAAAGGCAGAAACATCTTATATTAATTCATTTAATTGTAGGGCGATTTCAAGCATTAACATTTTTATTTTTCAATTCCTTATATTCATAACATAACTGAACATTAAGACTGTATAAAGTCGATCCTAGTGCACCATATGCACTATAGCATTTTTTGCCGTGCAGCCAAGTCAGCGTTTTTCAATTAAGCTTGCATTTCATTTAATATAGTAGAGAACTCTGCAACATTAGTGCTGCTGCTGCCCTTTGCCGGATATTCTCTGTTTGTGTTTGTCCAGTTATCCTCTATTTGCTTTTGCCGCTGCCAAGGGAAGGGGAATCCCCCGGCCGGCTTTTGTTTCTCCGGCGAAAAGAAAACCTTTTATAGCGGTTATTAAATTGCTCTTTAAGTGCTTGGCTTGGGGAAAACTATTTGCCCTATTCCACGTTGTTACCTGTCCTCCACATCACTTGCTCCTCGAAGTCCGCGTACGTGTTGGCATATCAATTCACGTTACGAACCGAATAACTGCATGCATTCATCAGCGCCAAGGAATCCCGTATCCAGCTCGTATCCAGCAGGATTCGTTCGGCGGGTGAGAGGCGAAGGGTGACAGCGCCGGAAGGATGGACAGGATGCCAGGGATACGCTGCCATTGGCACTGTCATAACCCCATGTGCAGTGTATCACGTTCCAGTCATTTGGTGGCTGCCACTTCATAATTCAATAAAACAATAAAAGCAAAATCCTTACAAATTACAGCAATCAAATCATACGATTCACATGGGCATCAGTGATGACATCGCAGGGTCCGTATATTTTGTACATATAATAGGTGTTCTAAAATATTTATAAATGTGGTATTGTAATTTCCAGGAATATCTTCTTTTTATAATCAGTACAAAAAATACCTTTGACAGCTTTAGAAAACATATCTGAGCAAATAAGCTAAGCATGAAAATCCTGCTAAGAGAGCAGCACTTTCCTGGAAATGGAGGATATTACGCTTCCCAAGCATATTTCCATAAATTGGTCACAATTTGCTATGCGCAGCAGCAGGGAAAACAAAAGCCCTGAAAGGACGACGCACACGCATAGGAAATAAGCACTTGCCGCGGGATGGCAGCCGTTAAAGGATGGCTAGAGTCGCCCAAAATTATGACGCCGAGGATAATCGTAGTGAAGCGAGTGTTTCCCACTCCGCCGGCGAATACGTGAGACGACTCTGGTAGTCCCAGGACACCAGGAGACGAATCGTGGCCAGAAAGTAGTTTCTGTTTCTACTGCTCTACGAAATGCTTTATTCATGGTACAATCGCTATTTATCTCGAAAAGTATTGGCGCGTGGATATTCTGTGGTATCGTAGATGCACATTTCTGACCAAGAACTGGGCATATACGATGGCGCCCTGGGAAGTTGGCCTTCATTTGGCCTACAACTTGTAGATGGCATTGACATTGGGTCCATGGTGTACCATGGCATCCTTGTGCACCTGGTAGTGGATCTCCATATCGCCCAGTTGCAGCAGCTCCTTCATCTGTCTGCCAATGGATAGAACGGCCTCGACATTGCGCGAGTCCTTTGTCCAAAGGGCTGTAAAGAGAGTTGGCCTTTGAGATACCCCAATGTGGAATGCTGTCATATACCCACATAGCTTATTAACCTTGTTGCGTACATTGATGACCACTCCGCATATCTCGTCCGTGTAATTGAAACACTCGCCAATCATGCACAAAAGCTAATGGTATATGCTATATAATGCATTGAGCTTAACTTCATGGTACAACCAAGTGGCTTACCAAATCATGCCACATCTTATCTATATAGGTCCTAGAGGCCTTGCCCAAGAGCATTATCCAACGACCACCCTCCTTGTTGGCATCATCTTCCCACATAGGACTAAATCGGGATCTATATAAAGGAGGCACGCAAATGGAAGACGGGTAGAACTCACCGAATACCTTCTTTGAAGACCATATAGTCATTGAAAATCTTGAGGTCCGATGGTGGCTTCACAAAGTAGTACACGCTGTCAAAACAAATTAGTTTGAAATAGGATATAGGTATTAGGAATAGGAATATGTAGCTGACCTGAAGAAGTCCTCAACGGTATTGAAGCTGGTCACATCGACGAGCATCTCGGTCCAGCACTTGGTGCGATCGTTCTCCCAGTGCCACAAAGTCCAGGTATGCTCCAATGGATGCTTCATGGCCAGGTCGTAGTCGATGATTCTCATCACACGGTTCAAGGAGGGCTGCAGCTCCTGCTCATCGCCGCTCATCAGCTCCAAGCCATCATAAACGGCTAGGCCGTGCTTCCAGTCATTGGGATCTTCATACGGCACCCATCCTATAATTTCGCGATTTAGAGCATACAAAGAATGATGGGCGAAACCATACTGTGGGCTTACCAGTTTCCTCAGCAGCCAGCAATCCGTTGCTCACGTAACCGGTGTACACCATAGTTTTAATGATTCAATTCGATAAGCGAACCTTTTATGTTAGTTTTCTCGTTATATTTTACTAAAAAAAAACTCCTTGAAATAGTATATGTCTCGTGCAAAGTATAAGCGTTAATGAAAATGCCTGAATGTTAGTTTGCACTTCGACAAATTAAAATATGACATTAAAAGCGTTGCCACCGTGGTTTTGAAAAAGTATTGGAAAATAAGTGTGACCATTTCGGTGGAAAGTGCGCTTAAGGAGTGTATATTTTAAAGTCTTGTATATACAGACTTCTAAGAAGCTCTCTTTGATTTAAAATATTTTATGGTAAATCGGGGCAGATTTTTTATTCCGAACATCCAAAGAATAAAAAATGTCTCCATGTGTTAAGGACCCCATTCAAACACTCAGATAATGCAGCTGCCATTCGCACAGTTTGGTTGCAAAATCAAATTGAGTCGGTTAAGTACGGACCCGAGGGTCTATCAATTGAAATGTCACGCTAATAAAATAAAATGCCACCGAGCATACGATAAATGCACGAAAATAATAAAATGTGACTCAAATGAGCGACGACGACGGCGACGGCAGCCACAGACACACAAACTTGGCAGCCGGAAAGAAGGATCCGATTGGGAATGGACCTGAATCGAATGGGGGAATCCCCCATTCCTGTCTGCAGTGGCTGCTCCTTGTGCAACAGTTTGGCCTGCAGTCAATAATCGAAATCGACTTGGGCTTGTGGCAATAAAAATTTGTCTTCGCCGCTTAAGTTGTGCGCCATGTTGCACACACAAGGTTCTGCTCCTCCGTGGCGGAGTCCTTCGGAAAGCCCCCATTCGCCACGCCCCTGGTGGCGGCGGTGCAGATAATAAAATATGTGAGTCGCTACGTGGCAGCTCCTTTGGCGTTGGCAAAGTAGCTTTGGGCCCTTGTAATGTGCACCATTTGTTGCGCGACTGGTGGTGCGGTGGCACCAACTTGCACTCCAACCAAGATGCACCGCACCATCTCCAGCTCCGTCTCCATCTGCTGGTGCTCGGGTGAGTTATGCCGGCCAAGTTTGGAACAAAAGTGTTGGCACTGCTCCTTGCTCTTGGTTCTCGCAGCCAAATAAGTTGCCAGCCTCAATTTACTTAAAAATTCTATTTATTTTTGCTTAAGCAGCTTTGGCTGCTGCTCCACCTCGTATTCCTTGGGATTTTTCTAGGAAAAACTACACCAAATTTGTTCGTTAATTGGAGGAATAAGTTAAAGCAGGGAAAGTTATAGGAATTGTACAACTTCAGAAAGTTGATTAATATATATGTAGGCCTTCGTAGCTTGTACATTTTATATGTTTTTATCGCCCTATTTTTACTTCAACAATAAATACAGCTTTTCCAGTTACCTCTGGTCCTGCGATTTATATTTTTTGACACACTCGCTTATACTCCTTCAATCCCATAACTAAAAATTACCTGCTCCGAAATGGAGTTGGAGCACATAAATTCCCGGAAGGGAAAACTTTAGTTCCAACTCTTTTTTGGGGCTTCTCCCCCATTCGAGTTAAGTTGCCGGCAAACGCTTAGCTATGCTTTGTTAGATTTGACTTTGTGCTGTGCGCTTCTCAGGTGGCACTTTGGCGTATACGCAATATTTTACAGCTTTTTGCACTTTGCTGGCTGAGCTGAAAATACATGGTCAGTAAATCTTTTAAAATATTGTAATGTTGGGGGAGTCTAGGGGGATGGCTCCGCACCAGCTTAAGCGATTTGAGAGCCGGAGCAGTAAAAACGCCCACAAGCTGCCGAGGAAGGCGAAGGGGAAAAGCGCGTAAATGGGGCAAACTACTAGGAGAAGCCAAGGATCCAAGTATCCAAGGACCCCAGAGCTAGGACCTCATCTTGAGGCAGTTCTGTGCAGACAAGCGCATGCAAGAAATGAAAATGATTTGAGGCATTATGTTCGCTCCGGTTTTGCCCCGCTTTTCAGCCCGCCATTTCCCGTTTCGCTTCGGCTGTCTTTTCTTCGCTTTTTCCTTTACTTTTTTGGCTACAAAATTGCTTTGCTGCTGCTTCATGTTGATTGTAAAAGATTTCAGTGCTGAGAGCACAAAGCATGCGATGATGTACGGAACGACGCACGTCGTACATTTTGCACCTTGAAGTGGCAAGCGGTGGAGGGACTCCTCCACTCCACTCCACCGACTCCCCCACCCACTCACTGCGGCAAGACAGCCACATAAAACAATAAAAAGCAGTGGTAAGTGTCGGGGATGGGTAACAACAAGACATCCTGCGCATCCAGCACCTTGAGGCCAAGCCAACTGACAGCAGCTTCCGGCGGCCCCCAGTCCGTCTGCTCCATCTGCACCATCTGCCCCATTTGCTCCACTTTCCACGCCCCCAGTTGTCGTTTGGCCCTCTCACCTGGACAAAAAGATACAGGTGTACGAGGCTAAAGTATCGCCACAGTAGTAGCAAGCACTTTAGTGGCTTTAAATGCTTTAAATGTTTTCTGAGTTTCTTTTATGCCAAACCACTATTGCTGTTTTTTTAAATTTTAAGGATAATCCCTCACATTTAAAGAAATGTATTAGAAATCATAAACCTACTTATTTAAAAATGTAATAATCTATTTTACTTCAGATATAATCCGTTGAGCATATATAGGGTATAATTTAAAGTATTATGGCTAGAGGATGCCTATTAATTCGCCCATTGCTGTCCGTGTGTGTGCCTGTTTGTGGTGCTAAATACTTTGGACCAAGACGACGCCTCTGGGCGCTGGCCAACCCAACTTGGAGCCGAAGCTATAGCTTCTATATCTTTGAAGTCGGTGCTCGGGGCCAGGTGAAAGTCATTTCACGCTGTGTGTAGCGCAAAAGATTAAAATAATAGCAGCGCGTAAATTAAACAGCCCGTTGGAGCCGAAGAGTAGGTGCCAGATGGGGATTTTAAAGGGCAATGGAACCGGGTTGCAGGGACACTGAAGTGGCAGCCATGGCCATGGACCTCATCCCACCATCGCATCCCTCTGTTTAGGGCTGCGGTCTGCGCTAAGACGCTTACCTGGCGCAACCCCACCGCAGCCTCATCCTGTCCAGAACTCAGCGCCCGTCCTGTCCTCCAGGACATTGCCAGCATTGCGTTGTCAGCACTTCATTTTGATCCAACATGCCGCGTGCTTCACTTAATGCGACGACTGCCAGTAAGCCCGCATTTCAGGGGAGGGGCATTTCAGGGGGTTGGAATGCCATTCGGGTGAAGGGAGGCAGGGGAAGGGAGACCTTGGGGTTGGGGTGCAAAGAGCTGCTTCTCCATCATGCACATAACTACAAAGCCGGCTGCATTTCTTTGCCGGGCGCAAAAACTTTCAACAGGCGACAGAAGCAAAATTAAGCGAAGGAATGGTTTTGAAGAATTCTTTAAAAATATAATCGTTTAAGTATTCGTTAGTTTACAAACTTGTTTTCATGTTTGGAAACCCATGATCTATTAAAATGAAATCAATTAAGAACTTATTTATGATTTTAACTAACCTTTTGTATGGTATGGTATGTATATGTTATATAGTAAAAAGTCCATGTCAAGGACCCATATTAAAAGAAAAAGTCTGGGATTTTCCCCAAGATAATTCAATGTATTAAGGATACTACGGACCATCCTTAGTCCTATCCTTATAAGTATCCTACACAACTTTTGTCGCCTGCCAGCTGCTGTGCACAACACGTCACAAATGCGTGCGTATTGTGTGCTCCTGCCACTACGCAGAGGGGCTTCCAGGATGGGCATGGGATGCACTGATGCACTGGGGGGCAGAGGAGGGCTGGCACCAGGAGTGTCCCAGGTTGCCGCAGTGACGCAGTGATGGTTCGTTGCGCTGCTACCTCCGCTGAGTGTTTTGTGGCTGTCTTGCCGGCTGCTCATCGAGATCCTTTGCTGCCGAAGCTTGCTTAATGCTTTATGTTTGCCAGCTTTCAGCTCTTTGTTCACGCTCGTGTCCTTACTGTTCGTCGTCCTGTTTTTGTTATTACTCCGCATTCAGCAAGGTACTTTGCTTTTGTTCGATGAAACGTAAAAATAGCAACAAGCAACGAAAACTCATTTTTAGACAATGCCGCATAATTCCAACGCAATGGAGGCAAACGAAGCAAAAGGAAGCAAAAGGACGCGAAAGGACGATGGCAAGGCACCAGCAGCAGATCCCAACGACTTTTTGTTGTAATGAGGTATTTCCGCTTTGTTGTTGCTGCTCATCTTCGCTTTATGCCCCCTACTTTCAGCACTTAAACTGAAAATAATTCCGCTACGATTTGATGTATTTTTCGTGTTCCTTACGGGCAAATTCAATTTTTAGCAGAAAGCTTAATAGTCATTTTTATAATGTGCGTGCTAGGATCTGGTAGCCAAATTGCGAATCTTCCGAAACCCTAGGTCGACTTGATTAAGCTCAAATTTGAAGTGGTACATGGGTGTGGAAAGTTTGTTTGTGGTAGCAGCACTTAAAACAGCTTTTGGTTATTACATTTATGTTATTACATCAAGAAATTGTTATAATTAAATGTTATATTGCGTACCAAACAAATAATTCCCACAAATTTAATTTCAATAGAGGTAGAGTTTTGCTATACGAAAACCTCTGAATGCCGGCCATAAATATTTGATTTAATTAAATTTGGCCACACTCGAATGGAGATTATTTCTTGGCTAAGTCTAGTAGACAGCATTGTTTTTTTCAGTGCACCTGCTTACGTTTCGTTGCGCTTGCCGTACAAAAGCAACCGCAAGAAGTTTCTTACGGGCTGTCAGATTTTGTAATGAAAGTGGATGCTGGCTGCACCCGTCTCATCCGGATCCCAAGCCCATCTGCTCCTCCAGGAGCCACCCCTTGCCCAGCGATTATTCAAGCGCAAAATTTGCGGTAATCTGCCGGCGGACAGCTTGTAGCATATGCAAAAAGTTTTCGCACAGGGAAACATGTGAGCAATAGGGGTCCTGGAAGCCAGGAATCACGCACTGCTTAAACTTTTAACCCTTCAACGTTTTGCTCTTCCTTGCCCAAAAACACACACAAAACATCCTGCAAAGAAGTTGGGGGAAGCCTGTTGCTGCCCCAAATGGCAGAGTAGTACTTTTGGGGCTGGTCATTCACGGCCATTTAACCAAGTCAACAATGAAGTCAAACATCTGCTTTTTTCGCCTTTATTTGGCCGAGGAAACCACCCCGAAAACCAATAACTGAACAACTTTTTAAAGCAAACATCGGTCACGGCCTATATGATAACAAGTTTGCTGGAGCCCCAACTTTGTAACATGAGCAACCAGCTAGGAGATAAATAAGGCATTCAATTAAAATTCCTACAAAAGGTCTTTCCATTGAAATGTAGGATTGTGCTGCCAATACAATTACTTTTAGAATTATATGCACCTGGCAACACAATTCAACAATCAGCTTTCACATCAAGGCCAGAAATCCGAGCCCCCGAAAAAACACCCACCACCCGAATTCATTAGCAAAATGTTCTTGAGAAATCCGCTCACTAAAGTGTTCAGCCGAGCACTTCATATGCCATTTAATAATGATTAAGTACTTGGATTCGGGGGTGGCAATTGAGTACGGATATATGGAGCACCGGATCACCGTATTCGAATGTCATCAAAGTCATCATCACCATGAAGAAGGAGCCCAGCCCCCCGAACCAAACTAAACCCAACTGAACCGAGCAGAACTGTTGACGCATTTTGGTTTCAGGCCTCATTAGCGCCGGGAACGAAGTAAACCCAAGTCCGCCTTCGATACCGGGAGCACTCAAATTGTGTCAGCATCAGGTGTCAATTTTAATTTACTGCTCCGAGCCGGCTTGTCATCTCTGATGTCTGTTTGGCTTGAGGTGGGGCTGTTGGCTTTGAGTTGGATGGTTGAGGGTTGAGGTTTGAGGATGGAGGATGGAGGATGGAGGATGCAGGATGCTAACCCATATTTTGGTGGCTTGCGGTTGCTGCGGCAATTTCGGTTTTCGCAGGCTTCAGGATGTAGGTACGTACGTATCCAAACTCATTGAAGCCTGCGGCTGGAGCCCAACAATTTCATGGCAGATGAAAGAGGTTTCCATGCTCATTTATATGCAGACCCACTCCGCAGCCTCGACATATAGCAATAATTGAACGCTTAGCTCAAATGGCCGCAAAAAACCGCTCGCTAATGGAGCATTTTAATATGCGAAAGCCAATGCTTCGCATGCTAATCTAAAAAACCTAATCTCACATGTTGTGTGGAGGTTTTGCAGTCAGCTGGATATCAGCTTAAAATCTTCAAAGTAGTTCCAAATTGGAGTGCTTCTACTTGTACTGGAGTGCACCAACTTTCAGGAGGAGCTCAGTCCATAAATGGCTTGCCAATATAAGTAAAAATCAGTGGGAATGTGTAGATTCTAAGAGGTTTAATGCATCACAAGTTGGGGTTTGCGTGGGAAATAAGAGCCAGGCCATGAGCCAAGCTCACGGGGCAATATCCTTCGCAGGGTTCCCGGTCCGTCGATTTACTTCTTCAGCAGCAGAGGAGCGGCAGCAGCGGCGACATATGGGCGGGCCACATAGGGCGAGCTGTAGGCCAGGGGGGCGGTGTAGGCGGCGGCGGCGTAGGGCGTGGCAAAGCGGGTGTAGGGAGCGGTGTAGGCGGCGGCCAAGGGAGCGGCGATGGGAGCGGTATAGGCGGCGGCCACTGGAGCGGCATAGGCAGCTGGGAAGGCGGCGCTGTGGGCCACCGAGTGGGCGGAGTAGCTGGAGGCGTAGGGCGCCACGTAGGCGGCACTGCCCACCACAGCTGGAGCGGTGTAAGCCAGAGGAGCGGCGGCCAGAGGAGCCAAAATGCCGGGCTTGGCAGCAGCCACGGCCACAACGGCGAAGAAGATAGCAGCCTAAAAGGAGCGAGGTTCAATGAAGTGATAAGTAATATAATATTAAAATATATTATTCAGGAGAATTTATCATTGCTTTCAAAGATGATCACTTCAAAATGGTTTATTGAGTGAAGTAACTCAATTGCAACAGAAAGTAGGAAAAGATATTTTGCCATATTTTGTTTAGATGTTAGATGAACTCTTGCTTCCTTGTACTTACGAGTTTGAACATCTTGATGGATTGGTTTTGTTTTTGGAGTGTCACTTGGTGGATGGCCAATGGGCTTGTGATGTCCAACATGGAGCTGCACGGCTCTTTTATAGCCACTTACACTTTTCGAGCCACTTGGCAATGCAGATCACGCCTTTAGATCAGCCATCGATGGTTGCCAAGTCAACGACTTTCGATTGACGTTGCGCATGCGCAATTCTTGGCTACTGTATTCGAATTTTTTCAACTCTTTTTTAGTTTTCGTGGTCTAGACCTGGCCATGTCTTATTTTTGGTGCGTGCCTGAGCGTCCGTTACTTCGAGTGGCTTGGCGTTTTGTCCCTGACCTTGACGATTGCAATGGGCTTACAATTTAATAGGTCTTACGGGTTTAACCGCCAGCGAACCGGCAGCTGAAGTTCGAGTGATTTATGAATGTTATGGCGACGCGACATCAGGAAATTATCAAGTCATTCCGCTCCATTAGCATTTGCCCAATTGCCTATTTTAATAGACCACAATAAATCCGGCTAATCACAGTGCAATTATGCGCTCTCACCGCTGGCAGAAATTATTTAATAAATGTCGCAAATTGCGGGCAAAGAGCTTAGAACTCACTAATTAGAAATATCGAGTGCAGCCCGCCGCAAGAATGCACCACCACAAAGTGCACCCAACTCCAGCCACTCCAGCCACTCCTTGCTGGCTGTTCAGGAACACATATCCTGCGAGTCCTGCGAATCCTGCCACTCCTGCTGCTGCGCCCAGCTCACACTTGAAAAAGTGTTGAAGCGTGAATTTTGCTTAAAAATGCCAATTACGCGATTTCAGCCACGCAATGGATTGGTGGATGGTGGCGATAAAATGGCACAAAATGGGTTCGGAGCAGCCCTGCTCCATACACAGGGAGAAAAACTGATTTGAAATCCACTTACTTCGAAGTCTGTATTATTCCTATGCTCAGCTATAGCTTAAACTCCGCATGAAACACATTTGGGTTAAATTTATACCAGAGGAAACTTTCTTTTTCCTTTTTTATTAAAACAAGATGCGTCTTTTTTGCGACTACAGCAAATTGTTGCCAGTCTGCCTTCTGTTTTGCTCTTCAGGCGCTGCCGATGATGATGTTGCAGGCGAAGGATTTGGCGCGCATCCTGCCGCTTCCTTCGCTCCTTTGGTGCGGCTCAAGTGTTTGCCATGTGCCTGTGCATACGAGCCAGCCTATTGCCATCCGTGGATGGGCTTCCTCAGAGGAGGAGCAGCTGGAGCAGGCTGTGTATGTGGTGTCTACTAAATGCACAATCATGCTGCTGGGTGCGGGCACGTATTGAAAACTGCAAACGGCAACCGCAGGCGGCAAACATATTTGTTTTGACACTTGACTTCCCTCCTGGCCGCCAGGCTGCCTTTCATTGTCAAGTTTGTGGCGAGGACTTGCTACTGAAATTATTATATTGGTTAATCCGCCTAAAAGCTTGGATGGCACCTCCACCTTCCATCCTTCACATGGCAGTCGCTTCGAGTGCCCACAACTTTCGAGTGGCCCGAAAGGGGAGCATATCAAAGAGCAGTCCCCTGGGAGAAGGCAAAGGATTCGCCGCCAGAGCTGCGGATAATGTATATGTATCCACGAGTGCCAGCGAGTAATTAAAAAGCAAGAAATTTCAACAATAAGTCGCGCACAAAAAATCGCTCCGTTTGACAGCGACAAAGGTTGGGTCGAGGACTTCGGAACCAGAAGAAGTGAGCATCGCGGCGTGCTCGACTGCAGGATATCCACAACCAATTTATTGAAGTACGAACAAAGACATGTATTTTTTAGTTAAGTATTATTATTAGTTCTTTGTGTCCAAACTCAAATCTTTGAAAATAAATGAAAGTAAGTAAGCACTTATGAACTGTCTAGTAATCTCTCATAACTACTAAGAAGTATTATAGATAAAAAATAGTTAAAAATGAATATACATATGATTGTTATTACCTAGCTACCCAGAAATCCCATTTTGTGATGGGCAGTCCGAAGCGACTTTGAACAAGTTGCGTGAAATATTCGCGGCACTTTTCCCTTTTCGCCCAAGTTGAGTTTATTGCCGTAATAAAGGCGCAACTGCCTCTGACTTGGCCGGGGTTATGTCTGCATCGGGATCGGGATGGGGATCGGGGGCGTCGGTGGTGCTACATGGCAGGGGGCAGTGGGCAGGGGGCAGGGGGCGTGGCAGCAGCTGTGCGTGCGCGTTAATGCGTCGTTTAAGTGCCGTAAAAAGAGAACGGCACACATGACACCCACATGCCACCCACACACACAGCCCAGCCCACCTCATCACAACAGTCGTAAGCCGTATCCGCATCCGCATCCGTATCCAGGAGCCCTCATCAAGATGAAGTCTATTAAAAAATTCTGACTTGAATTCGTCTAGAAAACGCCAGCGACATTGGAAAGGAGCACGGGAAGGGGCAGCCGCCTTTAAGTGGTTTCCACAAATTATTCATGAGAACAAAGCAGTTGTGCCGGGGATAAAGGAGGAAATGATGTGGGAATCATACGAAAAACGCTGCCAGGGGTGGCATAAAGTTTTCAGCATTTAGCCGAGAAATCACTTGAGTGCTTGATTGAAATTAAAACATGTAAGTTCTCAAATTCATAACTTCGCTAGCAATAATATATATGCTCACATTTTAATTATAGGAATTTCAATTCTAAATTTTAAATTCTAATATATTAAAATAATGATCTTTGCATTCTCCTTTCATTAAATATTCCATACTTTTGCGCAAAGTCACGGGGAATTGGCCTTCTTTACTCTGTAGTTTCTGCTTAATAGCAGTATCCATCGAAATCCCTTGCCATTTGAATAGCCACGCCCCAAAGTGGGATTCTGCGATCATAATTGGCTTACGGCCTTTGTTCCGCCTCGTGGACTGCCGCATTTCAATTACTCAGCCACCGGTTACAAAGTCAAATCGAATTAGGCCCGGCACGTGCCAAGTGTGCGTGGGCACCACCAACCAACGGATGGGATGGGTTTGGATCGGATCGGATCGGATCGGATTGGCTTGGCCTGACTTGACTTGACTTGGCTTGGATTGGCATGGCCCACTAAACTGGAACGCAGTCAAAGACTTTGAGCTGCGATGTCAGCGATGCCAGTTGCATGGCAAAACGCGGCCTTCGTGTCCAAGTGGCTTTGGCTACTATATAAGCTGGACAGCCGGTTGAACTCAACATCAAATCAAGCTCACTGCTTTCTGTAGTCACTACAACCAAGCACAAAAACCAGTCAACCGTCAACATGAAATTCGTAAGTTCATTGATCACCTAAAGGATTTAAAGGACTTGCCTATTAAGGAGTACTTCCATCCGTAGTTCGCCGTCTGCTTCTTCGCTGTTGTGGCCGTGGCTGCTGCCAAGCCCGGCATTTTGGCTCCTCTGGCCGCCGCTCCTCTGGCTTACACCGCTCCGGCTGTGGTGGGCAGTGCTGCCTACGTGGCTCCCTACGCCTCCAGCTACTCCGCCCACTCGGTGGCCCACAGCGCCGCCTTCCCAGCTGCCTACACCGCCGCCTACACCGCTCCAGTTGCCGCCGCCTATACCGCTCCAGTTGCCGCCGCTTATTCCGCTCCAGTGGCCGCTGCCTACGCCGCTCCTGCCGCCTATACCGCTGCCTACACCGCCCCCATTGCCCGTTATGCCGCCACCCCCTTCGCGGCTCCCATCGCCGCCCCCGTGGCTGCCGCCTACACCGCCCCCATCGCCGCCGCTGCTCCCGTCCTGCTGAAGAAGTAAGACGCCGTTTGTGAATCCCATCTTGACCAATTTGTGTAAATAAAGAATTGTACATACCGACGACAAGTCAAGCGTGTTTTCTTTATAAATATATACACACTACAAAATGTTAATGAAGTGGCAAGCATCTTAAAAACTTTCAAACTTTCCACAACACTAAGAAAATTTGGAAAATTATATCAAATTTGAGAACTATTTGAAAAGGGATGCACTGATTTATAATACAAGTTTTGTCACAAAAAATATGTCTTTACTTAAAAGGAACTTCACAACTTCTTCACTCAACCCCTTCTACAAATAGAAGAATAGAAGAAATACAGGTTTTTTAATAATTACGTGAACAAAATATCATTATCCGACCAATGAAGCACTATTTATTATGCTTTCAGTAAAGCTGTTTAATCTAATTATTGCAATATGCATAGTTAATCTTGTTTTTTAGTGTACTACTTGCCCCTCCGTTGTGCAGTTTTCCCGAGGCAAAATGAACTCCTTTGGCTTTGAGCAGTGATGGGTGGCAATTTGTACTCCGCTTTTTCCACTCGGCTCGGTTGAGCTAAGTTCTTATCGAAAGCCAGGCATCTGGCGTACCCTTTTCCCCATTTTCCGCGCTTTTCCGCGATTTTCCCCTCCATCCATCTGCACCTAGGCGGCAAGTCTGCGCCTCGCCTTGGCCAGGATTAAACTTTCCATTTAAAAGGATTTCTTTTCTATATGAAATATGCTTCCTTTCAGCGTTTCCTGCGCGTTCCCTCCTGCTCCTTTTCCTGCTCCCTCTCAGTTTTTTTTACTTTATTTTTTTCCGCGCAGCCAGCGGCTCCAGTTAAGTTTTCTGCTTGACTTTGTCCTGCGCGTTGAAAGGGCCGAGTGGAGCCTTCTGCCCCTCGGCGGTATCCTGCTGCTCCTTATCATAACTTTGGCATCGCCCCTCGTCCGGCCAAATCCCCCCCAAATCTCCCCCCTTTCGCACATTTCCACCTGGCTCAGGTGGTAAATGCCAAGTAGTTGTAAAGTTTGCTACCTAAGCGGAAAGGCTAGTAAAATCCGCACAGGGGAAAATGGCTGCTCCATTTTCGCAAGTTCTCGCAACAGATAGCGTCCAAATTTAATGACCTTTTATTCAATAAAACTGCGTTGAGCGCCGTCAACTTTTTACCTTTTCCACGTTGTATAATACTTGTTGTCGCCCTATCGTGTTTGTCATCCACTTTTTATTTTTCGCCCACTTTTTGTTGCCCAAAAGTTGTCGAAAATATGATAAGCAGGGGGCCCAAGTTTTCGGAAAAGGATTTTCCTCGCTTAATGAGCATAACTTTCTGGGTTTTTAATAAAAAACCAGGTCACAAAATATACATACGAGTATACCATGAACTTTACTTATATTTATTAAAGCAATTTAGTATACTTTTTGAAAATATACAATATGTAATATGTACGCTTAAAAGTAACCTTTTGACCTGAACTCAAATTCTACAACTTACCCAAACTTTTCTATCTTACCCCAAACTAAATAAATTGCCGACTGAAAGAGTTTTACACCTCGTTAATTGGCTGTCTAAATAAAAATGTAACTATTTTGATTGCCAGCACTGTGGCAATGGCAATTGGCAACCGATGTTTGTATAGCAACTGGCGAAGCAATAAAACCGAGCAAATGAAATTTGTATTCACTTTATATAATTTTGACGATTTTTCAAATCAAATACAGACGCACACACACACGCGAACCGCACATACATATAAGAGTCGGATGTGCCAGACATATACGTACATACATACATATGTTAGAAAGATTCCCTTTTTCGAAACGAACACAATCATGTGCAAACGTGTTTTTCAAATGGATTACATGAATAAAAGATTTATACACGTAAGGTAAATCAGTAGCGGGTTACCAAGATACTAACCGACATCCTGCACTGCCCATACTCCTCCGTACTCCTCCCTACTCCTCCCTACTCCTCCCTACTCCCCCCTACTCCTCCGTACTCCCCCCAGTTTTCCCCATCCACAGCAACTCCCTATTCCCAACTGAAGACGTGCCAGTGAAAATATGCGCAGATGTAAGCAAATTTGAGGAACGACGGAGGGCAAAATGTGCTGGAAGAGAGGAAAAACCAAACGGAAAATCCCACAGAACCTGGCTAAAGGTAGATGATGCCTCTTGCCATTTATTGATTTGTTTATCATTTTATGTATTTATGCCGCTTTGATTTCAGGCGCCAAATCGAATCAAGTGCGAGGGAAAATAAAACATTTCCAACAGGATTATTCCGAGCACACACAAAAGGGCAGGAAAATATTCGCAGCGGAGACTTTGAGTTTCGTATACCTTTTTTTTATTTTATTTTAACACTTTTCGAGTCGACAGGTTTTTATTGCTTAAGTTTATTCCTTTATTTCTTAAGAAAATATCCAAAGGCGGGCCAATTTTAAATTTTAAAAGAAGGCTGTAGATTTGCCTACTAAATCTTAAGAACAGCAATTTTACAAGGCACTCTTCAAATGTTATATTAGTAATACCTCCAACGCATTTACAATCCGTTGAAGTAATAATTTATATTTACCAAACAAAAAAGTTATTCATTTCTTACAATCAGGTTACGTTTATAAATCCAATCACACTGCTTGCAGTAACTGCACTTTTAACAAAAACCAATGTACACAAAAATGTGGAATACCTACAAATTCACTGAGTATTCCAGTTGGCCAACAGCAGCAGGACTCACCGCCCTAGATACGAGTAGTAGGGATACGTGGCGTATGCGCCATAAACCGGTGCATACGCATACGCCGCGTAGGCCGGATAGCTGGCATAGGCCGGATAGTAGGCGGCGGAGGAGGGAGCCAGCCAGGAGGCACCCGCTCCGGTGGCATAACTCACTGGCGTCGTGACCAACAGCTGGGGCTTCGCCTGGCTCAGAGCCACGAGCAATGCGAGCTGGCAGGATTATTGATAGGTTTGATATATCCTCAAATCCACATATCCACAGTTCGGCGCACTCACCATTAAGACCTTGACCAACATGGCTCCCATTCGATTACAGCTCCTGCGGATTGGACTGGACTGGACTGGACTGGCTGCCTTTTGCGAACGAAATTCAAAATTTTACTGCTCGACTGGACGGGCTAGTCAATCATATTTATAGCCTTTGGCTGGATGGCAGGGCATCGGATCACATCGGATCGGGCCAGAGAATCGTTGAGAATCGGGGAGAGAGCCGGAGAAGTTGGGCCATCATTAATATTGCTAGACCTGAGCACGCTGAGTGGCATAAATTATATTCTTAATGCTATTTGAAATTGCTGAGAAAGAATAAATATAAGACAACGACCAATAAGCATGTTAAATTGATGAAATTCCGTGTACTCTGTGGGTCATAAAATGGTTATTAAAATGTGATTGAAAAAAGTTATTTTACAAAATTGATGACCAAAAAGAAAATACAAATATGCCGATATAGAAGTAAAAAAAAAATATATAAATAAACCAGTTATCCGCCCTACTACCTTTATATTGCATACTTTAGTTGGAATAAAACTAATAATTATAGGAATGCAAACCAATGGATAAGAATGTTTCCTATATCTACCCCTGCGCTTTCTCTGCGTCAACTTCGACCATATTTGGCTCTACTTCCGGCTGCGTCACAAAGTCAGCCAAACACCAAACAATTCCACACCGCATTTGATACCCTTTGTTCGAGAATTGATGGCTAGCAGCGAATGTCGCGCCGCCTTCTTTGGAGTGTCGTTCATTACTACAGGTAGAACCGCCCTACCTGACTCACTGTAGCTCACCATATCCCCCTCAAAAGCTGGCACATTGCATAAAATATTTGCCTTTACTTAGACGTTGTAAAAATTATAATTATCTGTGCGTGCCTGCCATGCACATGAGCACATGAAATCGGGGATCGAAAAGAAACCATATTTTGCGATCACTTCGCTTAGATAAGACCCGTTCCCAATGCCCAATACCCAATGCCCAATTCCCAAGGGTGACGTCTTGCTTAAAGCCTCCGGTCTAGGACACCACTGGCACTTTAAGCCATAACAGCCAGCTGAATTTGCAACCGAGCAAACAAAACATGGCCAACGATGGGCAGGGTAGCGAAGGGTAGCACTGTGCTTCGCAAGCTATAAATAATTAATTAATTCAGACGTAGACGAGTTTAATGGGAAGGGAAAGGGAAAGGGTTTGTGAGACGACTGAGCGTTCTATGCAAATTTCCGAATATAGACCATAAATTCAGAAGCCAAACGAAGCCCGATGAAGCCATCATTTACTATGCCCTACCTATAGTTGCGCTCAGTGTACATGGTACCCTATATACTAGACGCTTACGCTGTCATAATTATATGTGTGTATATATTTCCGATACTTTGCGGATATTATGTTGCGGCAAGTTCACTGACCACCGATGGACTTCAATGGCGGCCACGCCCAGGCAACTCCATGGAAAGTACTTTGGAAAACTGCTTTTAGCGACAGTTTTCGCTTGCCTTTTTCCCGGCTTTTCCGCCTTTTTTTTTGCCTTTTGTATTCTTTACTGGCTGGCTTTGCTGCTAATTCCCTGCCTGCTTACAAAATGGCAAATAGTCGCAGCTGGCAGCTGGCTCCTGAACAACTGGAGTTTGTAACATAACACTAATATACTTTAAAAATCCTATGGTAATCTTTTAAATATATCGTACCGTATTATCAATATACATTACTATTATCAAAAATCTATGAAATTTATTCACTAAACCTTAAAGGGTATTCGAATATTCCATTTTAGCCCAGTAACATAGCTACTGTTTCTGGTTTTCGCAAAAGCTGCAACGGAAACATTGCATAATTAAAAAATAGCTGCTGTTTACGAGTAGATTGTTTGTTTATTGTGTAGTCATCTCCAGCTTTGGTCCCTTCCCCCAACTCCCCTGTACTTTGCATCCCTTTCAGCAGTTCTTAATTTAATAAAGCGTAGTATTTGAATTAATTAATGAGCAGCGTAGCTCGCGGTGTAAACGGGCTTACACAGGTGCAAAATGGTTACAAAAACAGTTGCGAGGAAAGTTACACATTCGCAGGATGCTTCACTGGAACAGTTGCTCCTTCTGGCGGAGCAGTACCTTGAGATCTTCGGCTAGCTGGGCGTGTTCATCGTCCAGGCGATTGAGCATATTGCAAAGAACTTCCGGCTTGATGATTCCACAACAGTTGGTTCTGCATAGTTCCTTGATCTTGGCCAGGTGCACCATTCGCTCCCGCTGCAGCTCCTCTTGCAGTTCCAACTGGTGGCGCATCTGCTGTAGATCTTCCTCTGCGTATGATATTTTCTGCCCCAAGATGTTCCTGCGATAAATACGCCAGGTGTTGCGTTGACTAGCCATCACCTTGCGGCGATACCACTTGAGTGCCACCCTCTCAAATCTTCGATCCGCAGCCTGGAGTTCCCAGAAATCGCCCAGTCCACATTTCTGGAAACAGGTTTGGAAAAATCTCAACTGTTTGGATTTTCCCCGCCAGCGCTTCAGTCGTTCCAAGGCTCTGTAGGCACCAATTATGAAGCCCCTGACTCTCTGTTCAGCTTTCCTAATATTCATTGGGGGATCCGGCATGTCCTTTACATGCTTCATCGTGCCATCCAAGTTGTAGTACGCCAAGCACTGGACACGCAGCTTCTCCCTACGAATCAGCAAGTCCTGTACATTTATGTCCTCAAAACATACAGGAGGATGGCATTTGTCTACTGGTTGCCTGGCTGGCTGGGGAGAAACATCCTGGTGAATCCTATTGAACTTCTTTGGAGTCTTTGGCGGCGGAATCTTCGGCTTGTGTCCCATTGGTGCGACACTTTTCGATTTGATTGTGTTCTTCAGACGTTCGGCCATTTCCTCAAAGCAATGCGTCAAATTTTTTACAGCACTTGATCTGCGGTTGACCTGCTCTATGACATTGGTGATCTTAATGAGTTTCTCCTGGGATAACGGACTGGAGGAACGGGTTTTTCCGCTTCCAAGTTCATCCCGATTGGATGTGGAATCACCACAATAGCCTGGGCTCTTTTGGCAGTTATTTCTGATATTTTCCATTGAACTCATCCTCAGTGGATGCTGCGTATTCCTCGAGGGCTCATCCCCCAATGATTGGACTCTCTGCTTCACACTTTGTCTATCAGCGCACTCGGAGCCAGTCCGTTGAGAATCTAAGTGTTTTTTCGAGCCAGAGGATCCGGATTTCGGTTGTCGAACCACCGTAACAATGCTGGCAAAACTGCTGGTTGTGGGTTCCTTTTCCGAGGGTTCGGTAACCTCCTGGATGGGTTCCAGATTCCTAGGTCGTAAAATTTGCGTGGAGCACATTTTGACCATTAGGTTGTGCGTAAATGATTTGCCAGAAGCCAATTGCTTCTGTTTCGCAACACTTTTAGCGGAGCCCATGCTTTTCTCCTGACGTGATGCATTCTTGCATGGCTGGCCTCTGTACTCATCCAAAATGACATTCAGATTCCTACTGCAGTTACGCACATCCGTGAACGGCTCCTTGAGCACTCCAAAATCCTTCAAGTGGCCATGCATGAGCAGCATCAGGCTGTTCCTGGCCAACTTTTGGCTGAGCGGAATCTTTTCGAAGACCTTCATCCACCTGGCTATAATGAGGCGATCCGACTGCTTAGCCAGTGCCTGATCGACATCCTTGTAACTGGCCACCTGCTGCCGGAAATGGCGATCCAGTAACTCCTCGCTTGGTTCCTTCATGGCCGCACTCGCTAATTCAACCGCAATCGACTGTTTTAATTACCAAAAATATTAATTTTACTGGAAAATTTGAATGATTTGAGTAAAACAAACCCGCTGGCTGTAATCGGGAAAGGAAATGAGGAAATATAAATGGGATTAGTGACTTTACTCGGCGACTGTCACCAAGCGCTTCTCAACCGCAAAAAGCGGAGGGGCCGAAAGTGGAGCTCAGGGTTTCTCAGGGATGCGCCAAGTGGTGGGCCCAAGTCTGGTAACAAGCACAAGGAGCAGCGACTCTACACTGAAAACAAAGGAGACAAGCTTGTAGTTTGATTCATAATTTTCATGGATTTTCGAAGCACATCAACAAATTTGATGCTATTAATATAAATTCGCACACTCTACCAGTGCGTTTCGTCACTAGGCGGACTGGCGCCCACAGTGAAAGGTATTACATATAACACTTCACTTTAGTAAACTATATTGTATAAATCCAACAACATGTTACCTAACAAATAGTTTAATGTCAGTAATTTGCCTATGGTCATTTCGAAACAATGATTTACGAGTGTAACAGCAGTAGGAAGAAAACAGTATGCGGTTGCCACGTAAATTTTCATTAGCGCAGCGCGCGTATAAATTAGGAAAATGAAGCAGCAGCAGCAGAGGCAGCAGCAGGCACTTGAGTGCACCGCAACCTCCATGAAGATGCCCCCTGGTGGGGTGAGTGGGTGGTGGAGTCGGTGGGTGGCGGATGGGAGGGTTAACCGCAGCAACAACAACAGCGAATGCGCTACGTACATACATAAGTATGTACATGTGTATGTAGGTGCTGCGGCTTGTGGCGAACTGTGAGCAAAAGTTGCAAACGACCGACTGCCTGCATAAATTTATATTGTTAAACATGAGCTAGAAAAAAGCACGCGCAGCCTGTCAAAAGAAAGCAAAGAAAAACAAGAGCAAAGAAATGGCCTGACATGCAAAAAGCGGTTGGAAAGAAGTTAAGTAAATGCATAACGTACATACCTCGCAAAAATAGAATACCTTAGTTATGGTGCTGAGTTCCTAGCAAGGCTAATAAAAGACCTTACACGCAAAAAGGTCCCATGAAAAGGTATTCTTTATTTTCTACAAACTTCGACTTGTAAAGCAACAAAGTAGCGATCAACGGAGATAAGAAAATAAAACTCAGCCGTTGGACAAGCAGATAATTGACAATAAAAGTTCATGTTAACGTAGATGTTAATGACAAATGTTAACTTCATTGACTATCTGGCAACATCGCGACCGTTATGGGCTCTTAAGCTTCATTGGTCACACTACATTTTTTGCTTTGCTTTCTTTTTTTTTAAGCACGCGTGTATTGCTTTGATTATTTTAGTTTAGGTCAAAAATGGATTTTGATAGCAAATACTGCACCAGTCAGCTAAATGGCACTATTTCCATAATTACGCGCAAAGTCCTTGATGAAAGTCGGAAATCCCTTCTGGAGGAGGGAGACGGCGAGGTGAGTTTCTAGTGAAGCATCAAGCATCATCTCAAAGTTTCGAGTATCACTAGTACTTTTATGCTTCCAGCTGTTTCTCACGTGTATACCCAAAGATCAGAGCTGTTCTCCGGAGAGGATTGTGGAACTGGCCAGCGAACTGGGTGAAGTTTACGTTCTGCGCTATAAGATTGATTTTTCGGGCAATTCTCGCGGCTACGCCTACTTGCAATATATCAATGCGCCCCTCAAGGAAGCAGCCCTGGAATAGTAGGTTTTTGATTTATGATTCAAACATATAATAGCACTAACCTTAATAATCGCAGTCTGCCAATGCTATTCCGCAAACATAATCTGCCCATAAAGGTGACGACGTCGATGAACAACCGAGAGCTGGTGCTCAACTGGGTGGAATCGTCGCTTAGACCATGGCAAGTTTACCAGGAGATGCTCCAGATACATCCATTCACCGTCCTTCGAGTGTACGAGTACCGACTCGACAAGTTCTTCTACATATTTGGGTACCGCAACAATGACACCGCCGCAAGTGCCCATAAAAGAGTACGGAATGCGATCAGGAAGTTCGGCAAGCGTGCGCACATCGCCTGGTTGAGTCCGGAGCACATCTTGAGCGGGGTCCAGGGTAGCTCCTGTCTCCACCAGGAACTAAGCCAAAATCAAAAGGGCTGTTTCCAGTTTTAAGCGGAAGTGATAGAATTTCTTATTGAGTAAGTTATTTGCGTGTTTGCTTGAACCGAATCCATTAAGCTCAAAGTTTTCTGTTTGTACCACATGTAAGTAGGTGGAAATGTAAATCTTCTCAGCTTCTGGTATCTAGTACATACTAGTAGTAATAGGATCCTTAAATGTTTTATTCATATTTTCTCTATTTTTTAAACACGTAAAATGGTAGTACCTTTCAATAAGTAATCCATTTAGTTATGAAAGCAGATGTTTATCGGTTAATGTGTGTACGTTTTTGTAATACGTAAATTCTGAAACCAATAATATAAGCGTGTTTCGAAGATAATGTCTTGATCTTTAAATAGAAATTTAAAGCCTAGTTGCACAGCTCTTAGGATACATAATATACATAAAAATGCTTCGGAAACTAACCAAGCAGATTTTGAGATTACTGTGGCCCTCTGGGCAGTAAATTATGTTGCTGCCTAAGCGAATAAAACATGAACTTTCACCAGTTGTAAGGACAGAGTGAAATTATACACAGCATTGTTCCAGGCAAATCCTTTTGGCCCGCAGCTCCTCAGTCTGACGAAATGCAGCCGCAGCTTGTTGACTTCATTAACTCTGGGCAAAAACAGCGAGCAGCCATAAAAATATGAAAAACAACAGCGACAGGCGGAGCTGCAGTTTTTCACATGCAAATTAATGCAGTGTCTTTGGAGTGGCGGAGTGGCAGTCAGGACTTTCAGGACGATGCGACAACCTGCGGCATAATGCAATTAAATGAGTGCAGCGAGCAGGAGTCGACGGTAGCCTCTGGCTGGCATTGTGTTGGACACGGAGTCTGGGTACTGCTCGTGATCGACGGACAGGAGTAGAGGGAGCGCAACTCATCCGTCAGACGAAGGATGCACAGGATGCGGGACAGGTCCGCTGCGCATTCTAATGCGATTGCCGCACTTGACGGGATGTCGTGGCAGGCGGAAACGGATGTTGTTGTCCTTCTCAGCCCCGCACGGTTGCAATTAAATTAGAGCCTCAAATCGAAATGCAGTCGTAACACGATGATGCAAAAATAAGAAACGACTGGCGGCAGCCTCATAAATATTCATTAAATTAAGCTTAAGTCGAGACATATCCTCTCCGAGTATTGAGGGAAAAACAAGCCGAGCTGAATGTTTTCCAAAATCATTTGCATTAATTTGTTAATTCAAGCGCGACGCCACGCCCCTGATTCACTCACTTATAGCCCATTAAAATTTCAAAGCCATGCGAGGGATTGTGCGAGACTTAACCCATTGGCAATTCCCAGCGCAAAGCACGCGCTCGCCGACGAAGGGTTAAAGTCATGAAGCCGCATCTGTGACGCAATTACAAAGGCTCGAAGTTTGCTTCTAATTTTGCTCTACATGCCATCCATGCAGTCATGCGTTTTTCAACTTACAGATGGCAACAAAACAATAGTTTCCACAGAAACTTTTATACACATCCCTAGAAATATGCGAAACCACAGAATTCAGGTTTTTGTAGTTTTGTTAAAATCAAATTTAATTAAACGTACGTTTTGATTTAATCGGGATAGTTAGGAGCTCAGTAGCCATAAGTATTCTACTAAACATGCTTGAAAAACAAAGGTATAAAATATATTACACTATTATTATGATAACCCTATGGAGTGACCCTGTTTTCCTGATCACCACTGTAGTGTGACCTATTTTCGAGTCTGCGATGGAGGGCAACTCAGCCAGAGCTTACCTGGTTATTGCGGCAAGTGCCAATATTTGCCTTTTGATGCGAGCGGCAAAGAATATAAGGGAGATGTAGTGTGGCCGAAGGAGCGGGATTGGGGGCCAAAAGTCAAGTGGGGGAGTAGGACCGAGAGGTGCCTGCCAACTGACACAGTTTGTTTAGGCTTTAAGGCGGTCGGTCCTTGGATTTGGGTCACAGATTGCCTGGGACAAAGGAACCAAAAGGAATGGGATCCGGGCGGGTTGGCGGTGGGTCCTGTCGCCGGAAAGCGAAAGTTATGCACATATTGAGTTCAAGCTTTAAGGGGAATGTGCCAGTCCAATTTCTTGCCGCTTTCAGCTTTTTGAGTGCGGTTTTAGTTCCGTTCCTGGCCCTTTTCCATTTTCGTGCATTTCTCTAACCGCATCTGCAGCAAAGAGCATGACAGATGTGCATGATATAGCGATGTGCAGGAGAATGGGGATGTGCCACTGGATGCGGACGCGGATGTGGTGAGGTTGAGCATACGGATGAGGATGAGGATGAGGGAGGAGCCGTCAACCTCCAGCACTTAACGCGAATTTTTGGATGATTTTTTAAGCAACTTGTCGTTGGCTTGGAAATGCCATTACCGACATGCATCATGCATATGGATGATTCTGCTTGTTTTTTTCTGGGCCCCTTCACCATTTCCATTCTCCGGTGGCTTTGGTTTAGCCAGATGGAGTAGGAAGCATGATTGTCGGATGTGAAGAATTCTATATGAGCTTTTGGAGCGTCTTTAAAAAGTTTGCAACTAGTTTGCCGCTGAAATTTGCATATTAAACAGACCTGAAAGACTGAAATGTTTTCATAAGTGATGGAAGAGTACAAAAACCAGATTAACTTTTGTTGTCAGCAAATTAAAAATATTTTTATCAAAACAATTGTTTTTATGTTAAATGAAAAATAAACGCAAGTTCATTAACTTACAATTACAAAGTAACAATCATTTAAAACAAACAAACAAGATGTTTAAAGTTATATAGCAGATGCTCTGCAATAAAATCAAAAAAAAAATTTTGGGACTGCTAATAATTTTTGATAATGTAATTGTTTTGCCATTTTTAAATTAAAGAAAATACAATTATACTACAAATATTTCTCTGGGGAGATGTCGAATGAATATATTTTAA